TAATGCAATTGATTTCATCAATAAAGACCTATCTGATGAGAACCGTCTGAAATTCCTTCACTGGGACCTCCACAAACATCCCAGGAGGTATAGCTTCTGGTTGATTTGTAATATTTAATTTAATAATGCGGTACCCTAAATTGTTATGACTGAAAATGTTACCCTTGTTTCTCCATCGTCCAGCAAAGCTACAGATGCTTTACTACTCTTGGGCAAGGTGGCTACATATGCCTTGACACTAACTGGGTTCTTCTATTGTCAAGTTAACCCAGCACTGAGACCTGACGGTGTCATTAAGTGGCCTTCCTCTGGGTAAGTTGTCATCTCGTCTAATAGTTTTCATGCTCCAATAATATTTGTGCATGCCTACTATTGGATATATGAACCATACAAATATTTTGTACAATTTCTGATGTGTTGAGAATAATTGCTGTTTGTCTGTTGTGATTTCACCGTTTGTTCTTTTTAGTCATTGGAAGAAAAAAAAGTGCAGATAGAACCGGTCCTTTATTGTGCATCTTTTGTTACTGGTGTGCCTCACTAAATCCTCGAGAAACTTTTATTCTTCTTTCTGAATTGAAAAAGATCTGAACCAGTTGAGAAACTTTTGTTCCGTTTCCTGTTGGGCACTCTCTTTAAGAAAGTGGTTTCGCTTTTATGTTCCCTAGTAAAAATGTAACTCAAAGGATAAGATAAATATAATCTCATAAGAGGTTTGCTGCTGTATAATGCTCTTCAGAAAATCGCTTTGTTAAAACATTGACGGTGTAATGTGGAACAGGCATTTTGACAGTAACTTGTCTCCCGAAATACATAATGCTAATGGTGACAAGGAAGCTAATGGTACTGAGGATGCTGATAACATAGAGTGTAAACCAAGCGGAGGCAGAAATATTGCAAATGGTAATCATTCTGTCAAGCCATCCATGTTCCAGAGCGGGGTGCTTAGAACCAATTGCATAGACTGTCTGGATCGCACAAATGTTGCTCAGTATGCTTATGGGTTGGCTGCATTGGGACACCAGCTTCATGCTTTGGGAGCTATAGACAATCCAAGGATAGACCTTGATACTCCTTTGGCTGATGATTTGATGGGATTTTACGAAAGAATGGGTGACACACTTGCACACCAGTATGGTGGTTCCGCTGCACATAATAAGGTAAGAAATTTGATTTCGAATTTTGTTGAATTAATATGCTTTGGGATCTGATGGTTGATTGGATCCAACTCAAAAAATATAAATAAATGAAATAAAATTATTGGTTATTCAATGACCTTGATTCTTTATTTCACTACGGTTCTTTGAAACTTTTGAACTTGTAATTCTGTACAGATATTTTCTGAGAGAAGGGGTCAGTGGAAAGCAGCAACTCAGTCTCAGGAGTTCTTTAGAACTCTTCAACGGTATTACAGCAATGCTTACATGGATGCAGAGAAGCAAGATGCAATTAATGTGTAAGTTCTGCACCAAGTCCGAGTCTTGTATTTTCTTGTCTAACTGTTTTCAACTTTGGCACTGTTAAGAGGCTAATTCTTTCCTCCGATTAAAAGTGTCCTTTTCTAACTTATTGTACAGTTATTGTTGCCTGTCGTTGAAACTGGTCTTTTAGAAATTCTGTTTGCCGATGCTTGTGTTGATTTATGTTGATTTTTATTATTTCATGCATATACTGCTAGAATTTACTTCTTCCTTTAATATTTTGAGCAGATTTCTAGGGCATTTTCAACCACAAGAAGGCAAACCTGCACTATGGGAATTGGATTCTGACCAGAATTTTTACTCCGGGAGGGATGAACCAAAAGATAAGGATCTAGATGGAAGGTATGTAGTAGCCCAATCAAAGCCTTGAGAATCTTTATTTTTGTCAGATAGAATAAATCAATTTGAGTCTCCATGCATCGCACAAGTCATGCTGGAATTTCCTTTAAGTCCTATGCGATTCTTCTGACATTAATTAGCTCAGTTTGCGTTTTCTATCCATGAAAGCACTGTTGGTAACTTGGTATTTCAAGGATTAAAGTTAATTCAATCATCGTCTTGTTTCATTGTATGTTTTTAGCCACATCACAGGAGCCTTCGGTCCAAAATGGAAAATGAAACTTCCAATGAAATATTGGCACTTATTTGTGTGCTTACTTAACCCCTATGAATATGTTGCAATGAGTTTTCACTAGCGTGATCTTATGATGGATATCTTTTCATTAACACGTGTACCAAATAGTAATGATAAACGGGCCATAACACTTGTTTAATGTTGTATTTATTGTGTAATTTTCAGCTGCTTTTTACTCATGCATGTCTCCTACAATTTGATTGCTGGACCATTTGCTCACCTGATCCCTTTTACATCTGTAGGTCCATTTTCAAAAGATCTTATTCCGATGGCAACATTCTTCGAGAAAGTAGCTCACTTATGTCATCCCCACATGTTAAGCAGGAGAAATTTACATACCCTTGTATGCCTGATCGATCACAACAAGAAAGCAAGATTCTTTCAGAGTCATCACCTGATATACCAACTTCTGAGAGTGATATTGCATTTTCAAGGTTTTCTTACTACCCTGTCTTTCTTTGCTACATGGTGAAGTAGTGATAAACTTATTAAGTCTTTATTGTTACGTAACTTATCAGAAATTTAGAAATGAATCAAAAGAAAAACCTCATCAAAGAGGACATGAGAAACTAGGAAGCCTAAAAAAGGTACTTCGGAGTGATCAATAGAGTATGAAATAATTGATTTTGGAATGAATCCTGTATTCTATCTGGTCGGTATTAATAAATACAAAATGAGAATCATTACTCTTATAAGACACCGTATTTTGGTTATTTGTCTCTATGTTCTCAGTTTTTCCATACCACACGAGGAAGAATTTATGGCATATCATGTGCTAGTGAACTTCTCTGTGCATTGCTTATGTTTCAACTCATTTATTTGTGATTTCTGAAGACTGGATGATACGGTTTTGTTATACAAATCATGACGCTTAAATGGTTTGGGTTTCTCTATAGGTACACTCCCTCGATGCCTCGCAGGCAACTTTTTGGAGAGTTTCAAAGATACCGGTGTGAAAGTGAGCATATTTACTATTCTGAACGTGGAGATACGTACAACTTCTCAAACTTTGTTGACCTGGACTGGCTATCTTCATCTGGGAATTCTTGTGAGGAGGAGCCATTTGAGAGGTACTTTTTTAATTGAGCTCTGAAGAGATAATATTCTCGTTGATCATGGAAAAGAGGTCAACAAAATTTAAATAGAGGATGGGAATCCTGAAAGCATGTTTTCTTCCTTGTTTTTTTTCTTTTCGTGGTGGTGTATTGAACATTGTCTGTTGGCTGAGACTTGAGATGCAATAATTGCAGGTCGTCAGTAGTTGCATCTCCAATTGAGGGGCTATCAGTGGAGAATGTTGTTAACGGAATAATTGGGGATTCTACTCCATCTACTAGTGAATATGGATTGAGATTGAAGGTGTGTAACCATCTGCTATGAATATTTTCACTTAATAGTTGCCGTTTATGAAACCAATTGATTAATTCCAAGGTTCTGTAGAATTTTGTTCCTTAAGAAAATAATTTTCTTCACTTCAACATATGACATCCATGTCATTCGTTAATACTTCTGTTGTGGCCTTTGGGTCTGGTAGGGGAAGGAGCTGGCAGGAACGGGGTTGTCCTTCCATAACGGGGAGAGGTCCAATGTTCTCGAGGAGTATCCCGATAGCTTTGTGAACTGGGTCAACTATGGAGAGACGATATGCCACTGAAGTTCTTAATCAATTTTCCTTGGTAATACACTCCCGCCTTCATTTGGCTCGAGCATTTTCCAAAAGATGCTGATCCACGGATAAGAAAGTATAGAGTGCGTGTTACCAATGTCAGGGACAAGGGAGAAACAAAGGCAGTGGAACCGGCGTTCGTTGAGAGGATACCATTCCTAGAGGAAGGTTGTCCCGGCCCTCGTGTACGATACAGCAGTGATTTGTTCATGAAAAGAAAAGAAAATTTCAGCCGGAAGTTATACCATAGTACAAAAGAGTAAATAGCCAACAGTTAAGAGATTCTTAGGAGCTCTTTCTCCGTCAGTTCATGGACAGTAGATTTCAAACTTGTAAATATATTGCTCGTCGGAGCTCCACTGTAGAGTTGCAGGCCGTCGATTCTTTTATTTTCCGTCGTGTTAATTCGTAGACCGGCGTAAAAACAGACATTGCCGGGTAAGTGGTGCGGGATTTCGGATCCTGCTGTTGTAGAAGTAGAACCGAAGATGCAGCGATTCTTGCCTTTAAGCGCTAATTTTAGGCCCAGACTTGGCGTTTGATATAAAGATTCACTGTAAAATATTCATTCAATAAGTTGTCCAATTTGGCCAAATAAAAGTTTCACCATTTAATTAATCCTAGTTTTGATTGAGAGCGTTTATTTTGTACTCGAGGTTTGATTTATAATATTGTTTGTACAATAGTGGGCAAATAACATGCGGGAAATTTTATTTGTTCTAAGCTTTTTAGTCAAAATGATGTCTAATATTAACATAACTTCTTAATTTGGTTCCTAAGATTTAAAATCAATAGAGCTGTTCTCTGAGTTTATTCATCGTCAATTATTTTGGTTCTTTAGTGAAAAAAATTCATTAAATAAGAAAAACAGACAAAATATCTTCACCACTTGTCAAATTATTTTGATCCATTATTTATTATATCAAGTGTTTTTGTTATTTTGATCATTTTTTAACAAAAATTCACTGAAGACCAAAATAATTAATGGTGGACAAACTTAATAACCATTCTATCGATTTCAAATTTCAGAAACCAAAGTAAAGAGTTGTGTCAATCTTAAAGACCATTTTGGCTAAAATGTCGGTTTTTTTATGATCAAGGAACCCTAAGAGCCAGTCGAAACTGAGAAGAAACAGCAATCAATCTAAGCGATCGAAAACGGCAAAAAGGAAGAACAGAATGGAGGGAGAGGAGTAGGTTTTGTCGTGCCTCGGAAAAGTTTTCGAATAAGAAAATTGATAGCTTCAATAAAATTACAGTCAAGAAATCCCGCGGATAAGCAGCCGTCTAGTTTTCGACATAAAACTCAAAAGTCTCGAACAGAATAAACCAAAGCTTAAGCTACCGAAGACGGAATGAAGCAACTGACCCATGTAATCGTAAAAGTTAGAGCTGCAGCTGGTCTCAGAATGCTGAAGTTTGTGCTCAAAATATGGCAAGAGTCTCCATAAGCACAGAGATCAGCGGATACGATGATCAACCAAGAATGGGGAAGATGCGAGCCACGTGCTCTAATGGGATGCCATCGTCAGTGTTTTTCTTCAGCTCAGGATGGTTAAATTCATTTCGAGGTAGGACAATGAGCTGACCCCTGCCTTGACCTTTCTCAAGAATCCAACCGCTATTAGCTACGTGGTGCTCAAGGAATTTGTCCAGGGCTAAGCCTTCGATGTTGATAGCCTGTGACAGCACAATTGATTACACGTTTTGCAGAGCCCAACATAAAAAATTCAATGCCCCTCCCCTGGTTGGATTGAAGCGTTGAAGTCCTAAACACTTTGCGGAATATGTATAAAATATAAAAAATATACCTCAGCAAGCACAGATCTGGGAACCCTCTGGTAAGTCAAGGAAAGAACATGAACTGCATAGTCTTGGATTGCTTGCTCAAAACCTGCAGCCAATTCTTTTGTAAGTCCATGCGTAACACACAACATTCCATATAATACGAAAGATAGATGATAGACAAAAAACCAGTAGCAAGACAAAATCCATAACAATTCTGTAAATCGAAACCATATATCTCACGGAAAAAAATATATATATATCTATAATCTATAAAATACCTGGAACAGCTTCAACTATGTGACGATTCTTGGATGCTTCATCCCAGAATTGAGTGAATCGTCCAGTCTGCAAGGAAATGAGTAGGTTTATAAGCTATGCATGAGTAATGAGGACCCGAATGCAAACACTACAGAGAGAAACATACCTCCAAGTAGTGAGATAGAACAATTAGCGTCTTGAACTGCTCCTCCATTTGCTGATAAAGAATCAGAGCAAACAAAAGAGGGAATTAACTGAATAATATTCAATGGCCAAAGAAGCAGAATAACATTCCATATCCCGAAATATCTCATTGATACTGGAATTATCTGAGATGATAAACACAGAGAACCAGAAACTAATAAGAGCTGAATAAACAAGGAGCTTGAAAACCATTCTGCAATTTTGACTCGCAGACACACGGTGCACAATCTATTTGAACCTCCATCACACGTGAACAAAAATAATGACATTGTGAGGAGGAGGAAACGAATGAGAGAACTATACCACTCTTTCGGGAATTAAGAAGAGGCAGAGGCTGAAATCAGGAGAGGGCATTGCCATCAGTGCCTGCACATCAATTAGCACTCATAAACATTAAACACCCTTCTTAATTACAACTAAAAGAAAGGTTTCAAAGAACGAGATTCATACAGACCTTAACCAAGATGCGGGCAACAATTTGGGTGCTCATTCGGTCCGGCTCAAACTGCACCCCAAGCGAAAAAAAAACGACAAAGTTCAGTTTGGTAGTAAATTACAGAATAAAAAAACAAATGCCAATTAACCAGAATAAAGCTTGGCAAGCAAAATTATAGAATCGAAAATCGAAAACCAGTTACAAAGAATTCGGCTTTGCAGTAAATCATACAATTTAAAACAAAATCCAACAACAAATTACAAAGAATTCAGCTTTGCAGTAAATCATACAGTCTAAAACAAAAACCAACTAAAGAATTTGCCGTAAATTATACAATCCAAAACAAAAACCAACTAAAAATTCCGCTTTTCAGTAAATTATGAATCCTAAAAAAAAGAAAAACAATTAAAAAGCATTCATCTTTGCAGTAAATTATGGATTGCAAAGCATAAACCAATTAAAAAGAATTCACTTTCGCACTAATTCTAAAACAAAAAACAACTATAAATAAAAATCCCAATTCTCAAATTACCTGATAGAGGCGAAGAAGGCAGAGATTGGCATCGAGACTGTAGGTTTGCGAAGAAACCTAAAAAACAAGCAAATCGCCCAGTCATTCAATGGAAATTAATCAAACCCAAGTATCGGTTTCCATCAATCAAGAGACAGAGACAGAGACAGAGATAGAGATACAGATACAGATACAGACCTGCTCGTTGACGTAGTTTTCGAGATCGGGAAGGATGTCAGGGTTGTACGGATTCACGGCGAGCAGCTGCTCCACCGCGAGCGCCACCTGCTGCTGCTGCTGTTGCTGTGGAACCTCTCTTCCCATTATTCTCCGATTTATTTATTTGATTTTTTTTGCTTCGATTATTCGAAAGAATTTGTCTCTCTGAATTTTGTATCGTCGTTCTACTTCGATACGAAATAAAACGAAGGGAGGGAGGGAGCAAAGGGAGCAAGGGCTCACGGCTTCACGGCTTCACTTGCTCTCGTCTAGAGTCCTCCTGCGTTTGCGATTGAAAACATGTCAAATTACTCATATACCCCGAAATTCCTTATTGGGTTTTTATCACAAATTGTTCCTAAAATCGATTATCACCATCAAAATGGTCTCTGAAATTGAAAATTAATTAAATGTGCTCCCTGAAAATAAGTGTTACAAATCAATTTGATCTTTCCGTTACAATTCTGTTAAAAATTCCGTTAAGTAACGATGTGGCACATAAATAAGTCGCATAAGTCATTTTTTCTCACAAATGGTCCTTGAAATTGACCCGCAATATCAAAATGGTCTTTGAAATTGACCTACGACATCAAAATGGTCTGTGAAATTGAAAATTGATCAATGTAGTCCCGCAAGTAAGTGTCCCAAATCAATGTAGCATTTCGTCACAATTCTATCAAAACTATTGTTATATCCTGATGTGACATATAAATGGATCATACAAACCTAATTAAATTAAACAAATTACAAATAAGTTTAATGATTTAATAGTTTATAAAAAATTGTGAACCCAAAAACCCAGTCCTACAATCACCTTTGATCCTAATCCACATTCATCTACCTGATTCGATGTCTATTCTCTAAAAAAAAAAAAAACACTCAATACACTCATCTTTACACACTTCAACACCCTTCACCGAATTGAACCTGGATTGAGATCATCTTTAGTGACGACTTGGCTAATTGTCAATGACTTCTAGGACATCATCGTTAACATTTAAGTCATCAACATCCTCACAACCTTAATCTTGAAAGCTTGTTCGGCGCTTCCCTGGTGGTCTAATGATTCAAAGAAGGGCGAGATTTTCCTTGAGATAATGAGGTTATAACCAAGTTGCGTCTATTGTTGGTTGAAAAGTATTTTCAAACCCCATCTTAGGCCTTGGTTAAGCCTTGTGTCTTTGAGAATTTATGGAAGGGATTTCTCTTCAGAGTTGGTCTTGCTATAAGAAGAAAAAAAATTCTATTGTGCAAATATGTATTTAGACAACTTTTTAAATTAATTATCAAATCCACATCAGCACATAACAATTTTTTTTTATAGAATTGTAGCGGAAGAATTATATTGATTTGCGAAACTTATTTTTGTATAAAACTAATGAAAAGAGATTGAAAACTTTAAGCCTAAACTACACAAAAAAGGCCTAAAGCCAATCACAGGAAAAAGTGAAGCTTCGTAGGGTTGCAATTTATATATATTGATCGTATTTCTAATATTATTTCTCATTTGATTTTTCAAATAAAGCAACACGATTGAAAAAACGTTTAATTTCACACCCGGAATCATGTGTTCGAATTCATGAGCCCAAGAGACAAACAGAACAGAAGTAGTAAAATAACCCTTTACATTCATTGCATCAAAGTAATACATACATGGCAATTCCTGACCGTGACAAAAATGTACACAACAAAACCTTCATTTGCAACAACAGTGAACAGAAACCACTTGAGTTCTTGTTTACAGAATCAAAAGATTTGATATCAAGTTCCACCCCATCCACGTCTTCTTATCCGACGGGTAATTCAGTTCAAACATACCCTTGCTAATGTGCTCACCCGATTTTCAGAAGCCTACCAGCTTCGCAACAACTTCAGCGCTTTCCTGCACGTTTTGCATGTTATGGGGGTGTGTCCACAACTTGTTCACCAGCTGCAGCCTACTCTGTTTCCGTCCGGATGGAATCACCCATTTCGCGTACAGCATTTCTCTCTCGTCCGCTGTCAGCATTTCTCTCCGGACGAGAGTGTGTTCCTTGTTTGCTCTACATGACTCAAGGCTGGGCTAATGGTGCATATAATGGCTGTCCGAGCATTTCCCCCAAGTGAAGACTGCAGTAGTCGAGTAAGTTTTGAATCCCTATATGGTATGTGACCACTTCTTTTTCCACCGCTGTGAAAGAAAGCCTTGTTAGATAGCTTGCATGCACTTACATTTTCAACAAATTACAATGCAGGAATTTTCCATTATTATCGCAAAAAAGTACTTTTCTTTTTTATATACCACTGCTGACAGATGAGTACCATGTAATTTCATGCATTTGTGTCTGTTTGCGTAGATTGGAGCTTTTTATGCTAAAATGCAAATAAGTTCAAGGTTTTTGTTTCCACCAAAGCAAAAGGCAGGATTCGGATAAGTTGAACATGAACATATAGCACAAAACTAAAGGAACAAGAGCCACAGATGCTCTAAGTCATCAACATTTTGACAACAGCTTTACCTTCGCTTCCTGTAACGGTTGTGAGCGTCAACAAGCTACAGTTAATGTGACTGCCTTTCTTCAATCTTTCACCATCTGCATTTGTTTGGGAGGCGCGTTCACTTCCAGCAAGGTCCACAAGGTTCTGCAGATATCCAGAATTCTAGTAAAAACCCATGGAAGAAAATTTCGTTCTTGTTTACTACCAAAAAACCTGAGTGAGGATAAACATTACCAAACTCGCTCCAAAAGCCCTCACAGACCCTGAACTCTTCCGGAGGCTGCTTTCTATGGTCTGGAAAAAAATAAACAAATTGGTGATTTTACCCTAATGCATGCTTGAGTAAAATAATGCTTGTATGCATGATGGCTTATGGCTGCCACATTAACATTGTTCTGCAGAGGAAACTTGACTCAACTTAAAAATGTGTAACCCAAGTTTCCAACTCAAGAAAAAAAAGAACCGAAAATAAAGGAGGATGACAAGCTAATAATACGGTCTTCATAAAGCACTATATAAGAGTCAACCTTTCATGAAACATTTTAAAAAATATAAATTCATCATGTAAACCAGCCTTATTATCCGATGCGATCTTGAGCTTTTATCATTTAGGGCAGTTTCTCCCACTTACCTTTGAGCTGCAAAGACAACTTTACAATTAGATCATACAAAACAGAAAATATGATGCACGGATCATCTTATGCAATGCAGAAAGGTTTTAACATTTTGCCACCAATTCTCATTCAAATGGGAAAATATGTTCACTGGATGATAAGAAGTTACTGCCAGTAGCTTAGGAAACACAATTACAATCAGATAGTTAACACCACATTTGTTCATTGGAACAACAATTGTACTCCATCAATTCAACAAATCATCTCAAGTTTTGGACAAACACCTTACAATTTGCAATGAACTTAAATTAACACATTACCTTCACAATTCCAATTAAGTGCCTCAAATGTTCGCCATTCTCAACAATTTCTTCCTGTGGCTTGTCAACTATGGTGCCTTTCTACATTAAAAAGGGGGAATGAAACGTTAGAGCATGAAGTGAGCCAGATTTGCATTTCAGAAGATCAACAACAGTTTCATTGTAGATCTCCAAAGCAGAAAATTTCAAAACAAAATCCCTTTCTGGCGTCTACGAGATCAAAAAGAAAGCAACAAAGGCATAAGCAACAAAATGGTTATAGCAGTACCAAGAGGATTCCAAAGGCTATATAAAAGGTCATGGTATGAACTATGACTTACATTCTTGATGTGTTCGAAGATGTCCCTCACTGCATTTTCGGTGATTCCTCTCATGGTAAATGTCTTAACACTACTAGTCTGCCCATATGCAACAAATGAGTTACTTTCACTCTCTTAGAAACTCGACTCCGAAGAAAACAAAAAGGAATGTACCAAAAATTACAATATCGTACATCAAATTATTTTCACAAATCGAAACCTCTGTGCGGTTGACAGAATTCAGCAGCGAACAAAATAAGACTACCCCGAAAGCACAAGAAGAATACTAAAGTTTTCATGTAATGCCTACCAAAGGTGCACGGGTTTGAAGGCCTCTCATGATTCGGATTCTTTGAAAACTATAATGTGCTCATCCAAGCAGTCCCAAGCTATAAGATCATACATTGCCTGCTCTCGCCTGTTCAGCGGCCTCAAACGAACAGTAACCAAAATTTTCTCCTCACTGACTTTTGAACACGGAGTCCTTCGCAGCTTAGCCGAAGGTGTTGCTGGTGTCCCCGTCATCATCTTCACTTACTCACCTCCACCCTAAGAACAACAGAAGCCAAATCAATCAGAATCATCACCGATTATAAAAATTCACATTTCCGATCTAGAACAATCCAGAGAATTCCTGATAGTGACAAAGATACTACTTTTCTTGGATTGCAAAATTTAACCGATACAAATTGGCGAAAACGAAACTCAAGCTTCAACAACAGAATCAAAGCATTAGCATAAAGAAATCATGTTCATCAACAAATTGTGGTACTGTTTACTTTAACGAAAAATCATATTTTTACACTAAAAATTCAAACATGGCATTATTTACTTTACCCTTTATTTTGTGTTACAGTTAAAACTCAAAGTTTTCAAACCATTTTCATTAGTTTTCCTAAAATATAAATCACAAAAACTGAATCTATCATACTCGTTTCGAATTCTTGAAATTTTTTGTCGTCTCAACAAATTTAACCTGAAAAAAATTAACACTAATTTTTCACAAAAATAAAATCAGAAGAAATGAAATCTTTAATTTCAACTTCATGAATCTAACAGCACTGCGATCATTGGGAACAAATATATGTGCGGCCAACATAAATGATTTGTTTCCTAATTTTTGAATTTCTGGCGCCTGGGTGTTGGCCGGCAGGGAGGCCGGAGTTGGGACCCTCGTCGGGTTGGAGACGCGTGTCACCCCTGCGGTATTCAAGTTCTGAGTTTTCAAACGGGAAACGGGGTGATAAAGAGTAAAGCTGTTGAGATAAAATTTGGAAACAAAATTTATAGGTAAATTACATAATATTACTTTAATTATTAGGTTAGCTACAATTTCATACTTTTTTTTTAAAAAATTTCAATGTCATACTTTATCTAAGAATTTTTTACAATTTCATACATTATGTTAGATTTTTGTTAATTCTTCTGTTAAATAGTGACGTAACTTGAGACAGGCCCACTCTCTATTAAAAATCATTTAAATAATATAACTTAAAAAAATCATCTTTTTTTTCTTTTCTTTTTTTGCATGGAACCCACCCCTTATCTCCTCATCCTTTTTTCCCCCTCCCGTCTTCCCCAAACCCAAACCCAGATCCCACCCACCCATTCCAGCAATCCCATCTGCACCCAACTCACCCCCACCCAACCTCTACACATCCATCCTTCCCTCACCCCACCCCCCAACCTTCCCTCCATTTTCCCTCATTTCTCTCCTTTGCACATCCATCCACCTCACCCACCCAAAATGACGGCGTGGCAATTCCGCCTTAACAAACCCGCCCCTCGAAATCCATGGTCATCAACACAATCTTCGGCCACCACCACGGTCACGTGTGGTTGTGCATCCAGCACGACCACCTCTCCACCAAACCCACCCTCCTCCTCGATCTCTCGGTCTCGACCCACCAGCTAGTCAACGAGATACGATTCGGGCTCATCCGCGTGACCGTCAAATGTGATGAGTCGGACTGGCCCTAACTTGATGATTGCCCACTCCAATCCATCCCTATTTGGACCATTCACTGCAATGATCTCAAACTCGAGTTTGCACCGAGAAGAAAAGCGAGCGAGAAGGTGAAATTGATGCTAAAGATGATGCAGTCGACGATGGTCGAAGCCGGAGTAATACCGGGCCGGTTTTGGGTTTGGGTTGGGTGTGGTGGATGGGATTGCTGGAAGGGGTGGGTGGGATCTGGGTTTGGGGAAGACGAAAAGGGGAAGAAAGGGTGAGGGAATAAGGGGTGGGTCCCCATGCAAAAAAAAGAAATTAAATGATTTTTTTATTTTTTAATATTTAATTAAATTTTTAATAATGAGTGGGCTCCATCTCAAGCCACGTCACTATTTAATGAAAGAATTAACAAAAAACTGACGAAATATATGAAATTGTAAATGAGGTATGACATTGAAATTTTTAAAGACAGGGTATCAAATTGTGACAGACCCAATAGTTGAGGTAGCTTTATATAATTTACCCAAAATTTATAAACTAATGATGCGTCACCAATAAGAATGAGCATCTTTATCAACGCTTAAGTAATAAATCAATCATCAATTATCAACTTTTATGTCATTTAGTTTCTAAAATTTTGTCTCCAAATGTAGTCTCCTTAGCATTATCGGGGTGATAAATGTCAAGACTTCGAGCTATTAGAAATCGGGCCGAACCTAACAACGAAGCCCAAAATAAAAATAGGCCCGCCAATTAAAGAAGAGTCAAAACCATTTTGTTTAAAAGTGCTTTTAAAAGGTTTGAAAGTGTTTTCGGAAATGCATTTTAGCATAAACACTTGAAGTCGGGAAAATAGAGTTGTTCAGCTCATTGTTCTTCCCTGCTGCATTGGTTCCCTTTTTGGTCTCACTTCCAATTTCAAATTCGAAAATGAAATATAGACCTGTAGGTACATTCTCCTCAAACATTTCATTATACTCCCGGTTGGTAGCTTTATCGAGTAAACAATAGGTGTTGGACAGTCACTGTGTCATCCTCCATTGTGAGACTTGAAGGAGCTCAAATGTACACAAAACACAATCGGCTTCGGACAGGCATTTAAAAAAATAAATACTAACTACTGCGTTGCCACGTAACATTATGGTCTAGTGATATTTCTCTTCACTTGCAAGTGAAAGGTTATAGATTTGATTCTCGTAAAAAACGAAGTTGAATTACATTATTATGACTAGTCCACTCCCTCATCCCTTAGTGTAAATACTATTGTTTGTTAAAAAAAATAATATTACGTTTCTCCTTTTTGAATTTCTTCGAATGCGGCTCCAGTTCTGGACCACTTGGTAAGCAAAGTCCCAAGACACGGATGAAAGAAGTCCATCTTTTATAACAAGAGAGAGTCCATTGTCCATACAATACTGCATATACCAATAAATGTCCTGGAAGTTGTTCTTTTGATTTTGGGTCGTGACTTAGTTGACTGGGAAACTTTGTTGACGAAAAGTTATGTTTCATCTAGGTGTCCAGATGATTATCATTTCATCAATCCAGGAGACATGTAAACATTTTATTCTTCACCATTTTCTAAGATGAAAAGATGTGAATGAAAATCCATATGTTAAGTTTTGAATGGCTTACTGATGTTGAGAGTGAAATTTACATCGGGCAAAAAAGTGATTTTATATGTGTTTATAAGTAATTGAAATATTTTTTATATTACCAATTGGTTTTACGATGAAATCTCAACTTCCTTCAAGATATTAGAGCAGGTTATCGCATGTGCAAAGCCTAACAACCATACGAGCTCAACGTCACCCGATTCGTGTTGTCTACATGTTAGATTTGAAAATTGACCACACATAAAAGAGCTTTTTGAGAATGAATCTCATATCGAATTAACTTACACGTTTTGTATGTGTTAAGTAGCCCTAGGATGTTGAACTCTTTCTATATTTTATAGGTACCATATTATACCATTAAAAATTCATGATTGTTCCAGTTTCTAGTTCATTGGCTTCAATCCATAATCAAAACTTTTATATGGGATGGGGACTCTCCTAAGTCATGAGTAACCGCATTGAAAGTCTGTTCACCAAAAAACAAAAAATTGAAAGTATGTATTCTTTTTCCCCAAATTGAAAGTCTGGATTGTTTTTTGGGCCCCAAACTTTAAGTCATGTTGTCCAACTTATACCTATAGGGTTTTAAGTTCGACTTTCATACGGATTTATTTATGTAACATAGTTTAAACCTCTCATCTCCTATAGTGTAAATATATATTGTTGTATGGCATGCCAGACTGCCGGTGGTTAATTTGATTTCCTGCAGATTTATGTTTTGTGGTGCTAATTAATATGTATTTATGAAAGTTTCTTGTAAATACCTCAGAGTCATCCAAAATCCGAAGTGAGCCAGAGTTGCATTTCAGAAGACCAACAACAGTTTCATTTTAGATCTCCAGAGCAGAAAATGGTCAAAACAAAATACCTTTCTGGCGCCTACGTGATCGAACAGAAAGTAACAAAGGCATGTGTACAAAATGGTTATAGCAATACCAAGAGGATTCCAAAGGCTATATAAAAGGTCATGGTATGAACTATGACTTATATTCTTGATGTTTTCGAAGATGTCCCTCACTGCATTTTCGGTGATTCCTCTCATAGTAAATGTCATACCAACGGGAAACGGGGTGATAAATATCAAGAAGTGGAGCTCGAAAACACGGGCAGAGCTTGAATATTAGAAATCGGGCCGAACCTAACAACAAAGTGCAAAATTAAAAATAGGCCTGCAAATTAAAGGTTTGACAGTACAAACACCTGTAGACACTAGAAAGAACAGTGTGTGTGGTGTGTAGCATCCATATGAGAGAGGAAGAACATAAGTCTCCTCCCATGTGGTGTGACAAAGGGTGTAACACCAAATAAATCACAAAATCAAAATAAACAAGTCTGAACTTCATTGGAGTCAACCTCTAAGTAGAAATAGAAAGAGAGTCATAAGCCAACAAAGCTTCCTGCTTTGCAAGGGTCGGATGAGGAACGTCTATCGTACACAGTCATACTCTTGCTTTACAAAGATGCTGTTTTCATTACTTGAATCTGTGATCCTTTGATCACAATGGAGCAACCTTTCCATTGCTCTTAGGTTCGGCCTCAAATAAAAAAGGTAGTACAAAAAAAAAAAAAAAGGGTGTGAAGAAAACCACTTAACAATCTAAAGTGCTTTTGTTGCAGTATTCAAGTCAAGTAACTTTTCTATGTGCAAGATTGGTTTGACATATGAACATAGTAACATCACGTTGCGTTGCATCGTGTTGGTGATATGAGGTGAAAAAGGAGCACAAAGAAAAATAAATCATTGTTGATGAAATCAAGTTTTCACGAAAATTACTCTCACGTTAAAAGATGGTACATATGAAAATGCTTTGTATAAATCACTTTTGAAAAGATGTTGTCACGAAAATTATTCTCTTGTAGCTTGATTACATTCACATTTGAAGGGGTAGGAAACTGCTATGCAGGTAGGAGGAAAAGCGAGGGCTGATATGACAAGAGAGAGTCCATTGCCCACTATACTGCATATACCAAGAAATGTCCTGGAAGTTGTTCTTTTGATTTTGGGTCATGACTTAGTTGACTGGGAAACTTTGTTTACGTATAGTTAGGTTCATCTAGGTGTTTAGGTGATTACCGTTTCATCAATCCACGAGATATGTAGACATTTTATCCTCCATCATTTTCTAAGATGAAAAGACGTGAATGAAAATTCTATGTTAAGTTTTGAATGGCTTAGTGATGCTGAGAGTGAATTTCAAATCGGATAAAAAAATAATTTTACATGTGTTTATAAGTAATTAAATTATTTTTTATATTGTTAATTATTTTTATGATGGAATCTTACGTAATGGATAGCCAAATTTGATATCGAATTTGCCATCTATGAGATTCGAATTAAGATCTCTTACTTCCAAGTGAAAAGGAATACCACCATGTTATACCATTAAAATGGAACCGGATCCGCAAAAATTGAGGCTGTTGAGCAATGATCTTGGGCCGTTAAAATTTGATCCAACGGTTACAAATAGAGGACTCCTCTAAAAAAATATAATAATTGTAGCCGTTGAATCAAATTTTAACGATCTTGATTTATTGCTCACGATGTTCAGTTTTTTTGGGACCAGAAGAGGATCCGGTTCCCATTGAAATTTCATGATTGTCCCAGTTTCGAGTTAATTGGCTTCCATCCACAATCAAAACTTTTATATGGGATAGGGTTATCTAAGTCATAAGTAACCAAATTGAAAGTCTGTGTTCACCCAATAAAAAAAAAAGTTCGGAATTCTGTACTCTTTTTCCCCCAAATTGAAAGTCTGGATTGTTTTTTCCCACAACTCAAGTCATATAGTGGAACTTATACCTGCATGGTTTGTAAAGAGTAATGCTAAGAAAATTAAATTTATGGATTAAATTTTTAAACTAAATAATATGAAAATTGATAATTTGATTATTATTTAAACGTTGATAATCGTGTTCATTCTTTATTGATGATACATTATTTAGTTTACAATTTTAATCTATAAATTTAGTCTCTTTATTATTATTCTTTTGGAAATGGTGAGTTCTATACAGATAGAGGATCCTCTTTGTGAGGACCTCGAAAATCCTTTAATAATATTTGTTTATCGTGTATTATGCAATTAGTTTTTGTTAAGTATAGCTTATATTTAATTTTAAATAAAAAATTTACATAATTTATAATCGTACAATATAAAATAAATAAATAAAATTTAAAAATTCTTGAAATCCTAGGAAGTGGATGATGCAAGGATCCTCTCTTCTATACCGATCTACAAATGGAGAACCATGCGTTGAAAGTTGAAACACAAACTCGGAAACCGACGCGCAAGCTCCCATACGCGGACAGCCTCTGCAGGAGGTGACCCCACCCACGTGGGTTGTACGGCCACTTGCTGGATTGAATATTGAGCCCAATGGCTCGTTTGACTAATCCAACGGCAGACATTCACCACACTAAAGTGATTTAAATGGTGAAATGGTGACTAATTAATTACTTGTCAATTAATTGGTGAAATGAGGATAATTATTTCTTTTTGGTATAATTGAAGCAAATCAGTCTTTGTCAACTTAGATTAGATGTTATATATCCCTATACTAGTATACATAAATTTATTATAAACACTAACAACACTACCACACTTAGATTGGATGTGTTTCATACGTATATATATTTCGTGTTTATGCGTATTTATTATGTATTTTGTATTCTTTTATAATCTTTCATGAGTTTTTTTATATCAATTTATAGTGTAAAAATAAAAATCCAAACATGCACATTTGATGGCATGCCAGTGGTTAATTTGATTTCCTTATGTAGAAGAAATTGCATTTCATCGGTACGTATTGCATGAAGGAGGAAAAAATAGGGTGTGAAGAAAACCACTTAACAATCTAAAGTGCTTTTGTTGCAGTATTCAAGTCAAGTAACTTTTCTATGTGCAAGATTGGTTTGACATACGAACATAGTAGCATCACGTTGCATTGCATCGTGCTGGTGAAAAAGGAGCACAAAGAAAAATAAATCATTGTTGATGAAATCAAGTTTTCACGAAAATTACTCTCATATTAAAAGATGGTATTTATGAAAATGCTTTGTCTAAATCACTTTTGAAAAATGTTGCCACGAAAATTATTCTCTTGTGGCTTGATTACATTCACATTTGAAGGTAATAGGTGGGAAACTGCTCTGCAGGTAGGAGGATTCTCTTGTAGCTTGATTTCACGAAAATTATTCTCTTGTAGCTTGATTACATTCACATTTGAAAATTATTCTCTTTATTATTATTCTTTTGGAAATGGTGAGTTCTATATAGAGAGAGGATCCTCTTTGTGAGGATCTCGAAAATCCTTTAATAACATTCGTTTATCGTGCATTGTGCAACTAATTTTTTTGTCAAGTATGATTTATATTTAATTTTAAATAAAAAATTTACATAATTTATGATCGTTCAATATAAAATAAACAAATATGGTTCAATATAATCACTTTATTATATAACCGAAATAAAAAAGTAAATAATTGTAGCTTAGTGATTTCCAACTAATGATAGTGTGATGAGACAATGAATTGACCCAAGAGCATCAGCTCTAAGAATATTGGCGTATGGAAAAAGAACTCGTTGGTAACAAAAAAAAAAAAAAAACAAATTGCTTGATGAAATGATATTCCAACGAAAGAGATGAGAAGTTTCGTGTCAACTTTAATCCCTTCACTTTGTCACAGTCACATTGAAAGGTAGTAAGTAAGAAGCTGCTTCGTCGGTATGTATATAACAAGAGATGGTCCTTTGTCCACACACCATACCATACTGCGTATTCCAATTCTTTGAGAGGCTCTTTTCTTTAGTTTATGGTCTGGCTTTAATTCTCCTATGGCCAATCAACTTGTCCCTTCTTCTTCCTTCACCACTACTCCTTCATGGACATACGATGTCTTTTTAAGTTTCAGAGGTGAGGATACACGCTACAATTTTACAGATCATCTATACCAAGCCTTGGTCCGTCATGGAATCCACACCTTCATTGATCATAGTGAACTTCCAATAGGAGAAAAAATAGCACCAACTCTTCTTGAAGCAATTGAAAACTCGAGAATTTCTGTCATCATATTCTCTGAAAACTATGCTTCTTCAAGATGGTGCTTGGACGAGCTCGTACATATTCTTGAATGTAGAAAGTCAAAGGGACAGATGACAAGGTCAATCTTCTACAAGGTGGATCCATCGGATGTCCGACACCAAAGAAATAGTTATGATGCTGCGTTTGCTGACCATAGCCTCAAATATGAGAATAACCTGGAGAAGGTGCAAGGATGGAGGACAGCTCTTACAGAAGCAGCAGATCTGAAGGGAGCTACTCTCAACAAGGGAGAGTACGTATATTTCTGACCTTCCTGTATATGGTTTTTGAGTTGCTTTACTCTGTATTTCAGAATTTACTACTTCCCTTTACAAAATATTCTTTTTCTCAATCTAATGACATTTAGGGTTGTTTTATATAAATCTTTTTAAATCTTATTAGGCCTAAACAGTCATTATATAAATCGTTTAATAATATGTAGTGTGCTAATAAAAACAACTCAAGCTAATTCAACAATTTTCAAACAAAAAGAGAATAACAGTTATAAATTAGGGCTCAATTGATATTATTGTATTCTCCTTAAAAATGGCAAAATTTTTTTATTCTTGGGAATTTGGAATTTTCTTAAAAGTAGTGTTGCAATTATCTTTTATTTGTATTATTTTTTTTAATAAAGATAACGTCCACCAATATATTTAAATTTATCTTTATTAAAAGGATAATAGAAATAAAATATAAAAATAACGTTTTTACTTTAAAAAAAAAATCGTTTGTTACTATGAATTTGTAGTTGACTGAAGAATTAAGAACTGCTTAAATAAAAATAAGAATTAAGAGGTGTTTAGGGTCCGGATTGGATCAAATTTACTGTTTACCCCCAAAACAATGTCAAATCAATTACGATATAACGATTTAGTTTAGTTGAAACTTGATAAAAATCTGAAACAAACCGAAGCAAACCAACCAACCCATAACCGAAGCTAATATTTTTTCTTTTGCAATTTTTTTTTTCTTTGTTAGTACTTAAGAGTAGCCCAACAATAACAAAAAATTCCAAAATCTGCCATATATTAATCATATTCTAGTAATCTAACCTCGCATCCTAAAATTCATCATGTCATCAAACTTCATCATGTCGTCTAACTTTAATTTAACTCTACGATATCAATATCTTTATATTCAACATCCTTATCTAGTTATTAGCCAACAAGAGTACTAAATGGGTAAAATAAAATTAATATACGAACAAATAAGAGTACTAACTGCAATAAATTCATTATTAGGGGTGAATTTTTTCACCATTTTACCGTACCACCCAAATTACCAACTATACTATACTAATTTTGTGCCAATTTTTTTGTACCACATGTAATGGTGTGCTAATTGTACCATACCAACATAATTGGTATGATTATGGTATTTAAAATCAATATATACAGTACCATAGAAAACTAGAATTAGATGCCTCATTTTATATATCTCATAATTGTATTTTAATAGGATATTTGATGTATTTTTAGAATTTAACCAATTTTTTTTATTATTTAGTTTGTTACTTTAACTTTAGCTTCTATTTTATTTAGTTAATAACATCTATTTGGTTTTTAAACTTAATTTGTATCTTAAATCTTGATGCATGACTTGATTTACTAAATGTGTTTGAAATGTGAATGATGAATCTTGATTATAACTAAATAGGTAACAAGTATATTAGATTATCTCAATGATTGAAGATGGTGTTAAGTAACAACCTAATACGTGTGTATTATATCATGATTGATAAGAAACTTTTACGTCTAAAAAATTTTGGGTTACAACTTAAAAATTTTAAAAATAACAATAATACGTTTTCGGCTAAAAAAAGGTTATCAATGAATTGGAGTATTGAAAAAAAAAAGGTTAAGGCCACCAAATTGGTAGTGTCATTACCGTACCATGCTAACAAAATTAAATGTGTCATTGTTTTTTTTAACTGGTAGGTATGAAGCTGCATTTATTAACAACTTCATTGCGGAGATTTCAACCGAACTATTAAATCGCACATATTTGCATGTGGCTAGTTACCCAGTTGGAATAGAGTCTTGTGTAAAAATGGTGGAAATGCTTTTAGGTGTCGGTGGAAATGATCGTCGTGTAGTTGGGATTTGGGGGACATCTGGAATAGGCAAGACAGCAATTGCAAGAGCGGTTTATAATGCAAGTGCTCATAAGTTTGATGGTAGTTGTTTTCTGGCAAATGTTAGAGAAACATTGACATTGAATGATGGCGTAATCAAACTACAAAACACTCTTCTATCTAAAATTCTATGTGGTAAAAAGTGGAAAATTGTCGATGTTCATCAGGGAATCAACCTTATTAAGAATCGGTTGAGGCAAAAGAAGATTCTCTTAATTCTTGATGATGTGGATAAATTGGGGCAGTTAAAAGACTGGGTCGATGTCGATTGTTTCGGTGAGGGTAGCAGAGTGATCATAACCACAAAAGATAGAAAATTGCTTAACTTTTATGGAGGTCAGTGGATATATGAAGTCCAAAAGTTAGAAGACGACAAAGCACTTGAGCTTTTTAGTTGGAATGCCTTCAAAAGAAATAGACCTCCAGATGATGATTATTTGAGACTCGCACAACGTGCAATAGACCATGCTCAGGGCCTTCCGTTGGCTCTTAATCTAATGGGTTCTTATCTGCGCAATGAAAGTATAGGTCGTTGGCAAGATGTATTGAACAGTTACGATTCTTACGGTGGAGAACCTTATACAGAACCTTATACAGATATTCAAATAATACTTCGAAAAACTTATGATGCCTGGGATTGTAACTTGCAAAAAGTTTTCCTAGACATTGCATGTTTTTTTAAGGGTGAAAATAAAGACTACGTGTTACAAATATTAAGAAGTTCGACGCTCAAAGTACGTCAAGATTGTATTGAAGTACTTGTTGAGAAAGCCATCATAACTATTGAATATAATCGGATTTTGATGCATGACTTGTTAGAAAAAATGGGTAAGCATATAGTTTACGAAGAATCATCCACTGAACCAGGCAAGCGGAGTAGGTTGTGGCATCATGAAGATGTGCGTGATGTTCTAATTGATTGCAAAGTAAGTAGAATATATGTTCTTACATAATTACATTTGATTTAATTGGCATGATTTAGAAAAGAAGAAAAAAAGATTTTATTGTGACTTGTTTGTTAACATTATTTCTTTTTCCATCTTAGGGGACAGAGAAAATTAGAGGCATTGTTGTGAATCTGCCCAAACCAGATGAGATACCCTTGAATCCAAAAAGCTTCTTGAAGATGGTAAATCTTGAATTTTTTATAAACTATAATGCACACTTTTCAGGACGGGTTGATTATCTGTCCAACAGTTTGAGGTTGATTGAATTCGGTGGACGACTCAATATTGATCAAAAGCATACGTATGTGCTCAATTTGCGGTCCAATTTTCATCCAAGACATCTCGTTAAGTTTGATGTGTCATACAGTGGCATAAGACAATTGAAGGAATTTAAGGTACATACTTTAAATTATTTTAAATCATATTATTATTTAAACATATATTTTATCTCCCAAAAAAATACTCAAAAGTGTTTTATTATATTCTTTTTAAAGCATGTGAACTTTTGTTTTGTTTTTGTGTTTGGTTTTATAGAATTTGGCAAAGCTTACATGGATGAATTTAAGTGGTTGCGAATTCTTGGAAAAAATCCCCGACTTATCCGGAAGCCCAAACATAAGGAAGTTGGATCTAAGAGGCTGCACAAGTTTGGTCGAGGTTCATGATTCAGTTGGATGCCTTGATAAACTTGAAGTCTTGTATCTTACTGGGTGCTCTAAGCTTACGGGGTTTGCAAAAAGACTTGGATTGAGGTCCCTACGTTTTCTTAATCTCAATGGTTGTAGAAGTCTCAAGAGTTTCCCAGAAATAGAGGGCAAGATGGAATCCCTACGCTATTTGGATATGGAAGAAAGTGGCATAAGAGAATTGCCATCAATTGCTTATTTTACTAACCTTGAGCGTTTGAACGCAAGTGGTAGTGAGTTGCAAAATATCCAACTCCTCCCTTTTGGAAAGAAGGTGAAGTTCGATGAAGTTTCATCCTGCAGTACCGATGTACATCTGTATCTTGATCTTTCAGGATGCAATTTATCAGAAAGTGATTTCCTTGTGCCTCTTGTTTGCTGGTCCGCATTAGAAGAACTTGATCTGTCGAGAAACAATTTTGTTAGCCTTCCGGATTGTATTAGCAAAGTTGTCAACTTGGAGTTACTTTGCTTGTGGGATTGCAAGAGGCTTCGGGAAATTCCAGTCCTTCCACCAAAACTAGAAGAGTTACATCTGCCGGATTGCACGTCATTGGAGAAAATTCCAAAACTGCCGCCGAGGCTTCAGTTTCTTAACTTGTATAACTGCTCTGGACTAAGTGGCGATGAGGTGGCAAAGTTCGAAAACAACTTGTTGAATGAGGTTGGTCTCTCTTCTTCTTAATTTATGTTCAAATGAAAATTAATTTTGTTGGTACTTGAAAGAGAGATCAGATCACAAATGTTTGTAATTTGTTAACTATATATATCTACTATTGCAGGAAATTCGTCCGTGCTATGACTTCCGCACTATTTACCCAGGCAATGAAGTTCCAAAATGGTGCAGCTATACATCTAACCATCCCACAACCTTTCAACCTCTACCAGAATATGAATCGGATGAAGATGACTGGGACAAAACATTTGCTGGAGGCAATGAATTTCGTTTTGAATTTCCTCTAAAATTACAAGTGGGGGAGATGTTAGTAGGATTGGCTCTATGTTTTGTTGTTGAACCATCGACTAAGCTTGATTGTGGTATTTACCCGTCTATTATCATCAACGGAAAAAAATTGCTTCGTTATGATATTCGTCCATGGCATGGCCCACTAATGAACGAAGTTAATTTATGGTATGATGAGGACATATGGGCAACTCATGTGAGGCTTGCGTTAATGTCTTTATGGGACTTTGCCCTGAAACCGGGGGTACATATTTGTCAATTTGTATTTCGATTCCAGAATGGGTGTCCCGTTAAAAGCTGCGGCGTGCACTGCCTATTGAGACCAACGAGCAGTCTTGGGATGAGGCCTCATCCACGTGGATCCTCAGATATTGTCGATGATGAATATGATCAGGAACTGCAATGGATCAAGTTAGTTTCTGGTATTGAGGAGGATGAGGAGCAAGAGCAACCGTCCGACTGAGATGATCATCCAAAACGCTGGCAGATTGATCTCAATGTTCCCTTTGATATTGAGGATGAGGAGCAGCTTCACTTGTCTCTGAGACCAACGACCAGCCTTAGGAAGAGGCCTCGCCCACGTGGATCCTCAGATATTGTCGATGATGAATATGATCAGCAACAACAATGGCTTTCCTCATCTTCGGAGCCAGCAGAAGATCATCCAAAACGTAGGCAGATTGATCCCAATGTTCCTATTGATCTTGAGGAGGATGAAGAGCAGCTTCACTTGTCTCTGAGACCAACGAGCAGTCTTGGGATAAGGCCTCGTCCATGTGGATCCTGAGATATTGTCAATGATAAATATGATCAGCAACAACAATGACTTTCCTCATCTTTGGAGCCAGCAGATGATCGTCCAAAACGCTGGCAGATTGATCCCAATGTTCCTTTTGATACTGAGGAGGATGAGGAGCAAGAGCAACCGTCCGATTCAGATGATTCGCATTTCTGATTAATTAGGAGTTTGGGTACGTACATATTTGTTTGCACTTTACTAATATCTAAAACTAAGAGGCTGTTTGATGACCATTTCAGTTTGCAAACCGAAAACTTGTTTGATCTATTATCTTGCGTTTGCCTTTCTGGCTTTTTATTTTATTTTATATATATCTAAACTACATATTACTAGAACACTCATGTCAAACAAACTTTTATGAAATTCACAGCTTAACCCTCTACTTAAAACTGAACATGAATAAGAAATATGGACAGAATTGTAACTTCAAACAATCAAAATTTTGTTTTTTTTTTTTTTATTTCAAAACCTTACCCAAATCTCTAATTAAAAAAATAAAAATTAAGTCTCTCTCCCTACTCTCACATTCTCTCTTCCTCTCTCATTCTACTTTAAAAACAAAAATAAAAAGTTTTCATACACACTTAGTGTGTGGCCATATGCTAGTATATGATAAAAAAAAAAATTAGTAACTACTAAAACTCGATTGGTAACAACTAGCGACTGTAACAAAAATCTACTTATCACAACTTCAAATCAAGGACTAATATCTTCCATTCTACCACTTACAGTTGCTTTTCTGTTAACTAAAATCTAAAAATATCATCAATAAAAAACGGAAATATCATAAAGCTAATCAAATCAATTGTAAGTCGTTTCTACAAGATAAAGTCAAATGCCAGCAATGGAGAAAAGCTTCTCCAATATGCTCTTCTCAGTAATACAATATTAGTTTTCAATCTGCAGAAACAAAGAATTCATCTGTAGGTGAGTAAGCCTACAGATATCTGTGACTGTGAGTGAGTAAGCCACAGCCCTCGACTAACAAAACCAAAGTCTAATTACTTCAAACAAACAAGAATGGAAGGAAAACATACTTCATATTCGTATACCACAGAAGTAGACAGAGTATATAAAACCTATAAAGAACTATTCGTTTCACCCCAATTTATCTACCTCCATCATAAATTATTTACTTTGTAAACTATTTCATATTTGTTTCCCCTCTTTCACTCACCTTGACCTGCCATCATACTCTATGAGTTTGACCGCAGTGCTCAAGCAACACCTATACGACTCACAACTCTTCTACATGAACTAACTTGAAAAATGTTACCATGAGAATCGGGAGAGAACATCTGCACTAGTAGTTAACACGTACAAGCTTTGCATACCTCGGTTTACTTGTAACTTTGGACTGACATCGAAGGATAACGTGGAATCAATAGGATCATTGCCTCCTCAGCAATTTGTTGATAAATGAGAACAAAAATGAATAGGATTATACATTGAAGGGTTAATATTCTAGAAATCACAAAAACATGGAAACCACAAAAGTCGAGCATCCAAAAGAAAGGCATGATGTGTACCTTTTCAGTTAAATCCAGGCCTTAATTTTATTCGGATATATGAATTCAACATTAATTACCTAAAAACTTGGTTTTATCCGGATATATAAACCTACAAGGAGAAATGAGATTATAAGTACTAAATTTCTACAAGGTGATCAAAGAACTACATCATTTGGATGAACATGTAAAGCAACTACTCCTCCTCTGTTCCTGTAGGACTACTGTTTTATCATCAGTCGGGGTTCACAGAATTTTGTCCAAAACTAAAAATGTTTTAAGACACCGTAGGCTGCAACTTTAACCCAAACTCCATCCCAGTAAATCTAACCAAATTAAATTCGTTAAGGCAACTGCAGAATGAGGTTTTCATCGGCCAGGAGAAAAAATAAAAAAATAAAACGAACGGAAACGAGGCAATTTGTGAGTTTCTAGGGTTCTATATGTGACTTACGTATTAACAACCAGAAATCGCGGTCTCAAACCTCTGAACTCGAAGCTCCAATATTCGAAATCGCAGCCTCAAATCTCTGAAATCATAGAAATATAAATTATTCCTGAAATCAATCCAATCAGTTCTTCGAAAAATAAAAAATAAAAAAAATCAGAAAAATGAAAAATAAAAAGCGAATCGAAACAATTCAATCCAATCATAAGAAATGATTCAAAATTACCTCGAATCTCAACAGAACAAAACCCTAACAGAGTCCTCTGCAGATCGAATTCGTACTAGACTAGTGGGAAACGAGTCGAAATTGTATTGAAAGTAGAATATCTCTGAAATCGTAGCTTCTAACCTCTAGCTCATATCAAAATCGACGGAAAAGCAATGGGAGAGAGCTCGACAAGTTGGAGGGAGAGAGGTCGACGAGTTGGAGAGAGAGCTCTCGACGAGCTGGAGAATTTGTTTTTTCTTGGTTAATATATATACAGTAGATGAAACACAATGTGAGCGTAAATATACAAGATTTTTTAGTTGGAAAGTATAGGGAAGACGGAGAAACGTGAACAAGTTTATCTATATATATATATATATATATTTTTTTTTTTTTTAAATTTAGAGATATGTTAGGTTAATGTGGGTGGGTGAAGAAAAAAAACAGAAAACCTAAAAATTTCGTTTATTCAAAGTTACATTATTATCATGATTTTATTTTGTGATAAAAAAATTACATTATTTTTTTCCTTTCTTTAGGGGGAGAGATTTTGTTATCATGTAATTTAGATAAGATTATATTTTGAGAGAGAGCAACTTTTTTATTTATTTGAGAGAGAGATTAAACATATTCACGTCATATGCAATGTTATGATTATTTTTTAATTGCTTTTCTGTTTATAATTTTACTCTAAGTCTCTATATTCTTATTTTTACGTTTTAGTTTTATGTCCTTTTTTTTTCTCCTTGGTCAATTTCTATCTCTTTCTTCTCCTTTCTACCCATGTCTTTCTCTCTCTGCACATTCTTCTTTGTATTTTTCTTTCTCTTGTCTCTATTCTTCCTCCTCCTACATCATTATCTCTACTAGTACTAAAAATTTTGAAACTGATCTTTTCATAGTGCTGGAATTTTAAAATTAATTTGGTAGAAATTTTGAAACTGACCTTACAGAAGTGCAAAGAAAATTTGAAAATAATCTTGCAGAAGTGCATAAATTGTGAAACTGATCGTTCAGAAATGCAGAAATTAATTTTTACGGATCTAAAATCAGTTTGAAGTTTTTATAGATAATGTCACTTTATAGTTTTGGACTAGTTTATCACTTTATAGTTTTGGCCTCGTTAACTAACAAGTCTATTGAGGCCATAGTTGAAATTTTAAAATTTTGGTTTGCTTGATTTTGGGCTAGATTTGTTGAGGTTTGAGCTTTTGTCTCTCCTTGAAATGATTCAAAACTAGTGAAGTTCTATGAAATATATTTTGTGTTGTTTTAGTGTTCAGAGATTTGGTGACCATTGTGTGTATTGCAAATTTTGAAGTGTGGGGCTAAAGCTGGAGCTCCATCATGTTTATACGTTTATGAACTTAGCAGGATGGTGAATTTGTCGTTTTATCTTTCTCCAGGGGTTAGAGAATGCCTCGTTCGGACGATCAACATGGGTTATCAAAATCTTATTCAGGAGAGCGATTTTCTCCGGATTGTCTTAGCTTTATAAGGCCAATCCCTCAACCTCTTGCCAGTTGGCCCTATTGTTGAGGATGCAAAGGCATTGCTAGACCAGATCACTAGAGTTGTCATCACCCATATATGCCGCCAAGCGAATGAAGCAGCGCACTGTCTAGCCCGCTCGACACTTCTTTGTAATGGTTTTTTTTTCTTGGTCTGAAAAACCTCCTGATCTCTCTTTTGTGTATATCTCTTCGTCCATTTGGTCTTTCAATAAAACACTGCTGATTTTCAAAAATAAATAAATAAATAAATAAGAAGGTGAACCCTTTCTGTGTGCCTTTCACAACCACAAATATGGGTTCTGCCGTGCTCGCCATGGATCCTGCGAGATTATAAGATATATGTATTCGATGCAATACTCTTACAATTCGTGATGGCTGCTGATTTTGTACTTGTCCTTTTAACTGATATCTACTCTTACACTTGCAGGGTTGGATGGTCCCAAACTATTCAACCTCTACTGCTTGTGCTACAAGCAGCTTCCGTACTTTGAATTCGGCAAATCATTTCATTAAAGCCAATGCAGTAAGAATTCCTACAACGATCCGACCAAAGCATCACGCCCTTGGGATAGTGTAATGCGACCAATAACTATGCTAGATTCATTTATTCTTTTATTTCCACTGTGATTGGTTATATGATGAAACTTCTGTAAATATTGTTACGAACAAGAATGGTAAAAATCATCGAAAGGCATGTCATACATTGGTTGTCTCAATGTGAATTTGTGTTGGAATCTAGTCAGCTTTTTTGAAATGATGTGTCGTAATTTATAACTAAACCTAGTCATGTCTATTGAGCTTGAGAGTTGAGTTTCTTAGTTTTAGAAACGTTTAACAAGTGCAGCTTTTTAACGAAATCTTGTTTTTGGTTTTTGCACAGAACCATGGTGGCCTTGTTATGGGGGATGGAGCTGGCGTTTTGCCTCTAGAAGAGTTAGAACATGCTAAGGTATTTTCTAAATCTATGACTTTGGCAATGGCACTTGGGTGTCTGTCTAGATATCCTTTTTTTCTCTCTGTAGGATCACATCGTCTGTAAGGTTGTAGGTGCAAAGTCCGTAGGGACATTCTGTATCCTGTGGTTCCCTCAAGCTCTATGGTCTCATAAACACGTTTTCTAATCATTCATCTCTATCTTACTATGCAATATGATGTTTTTTTATTAATTTCCTTGGAAACAGGGGCCGGGGTTATTCTTTGCATTGAAAAGGCTTTAGAACAGTCTGGGGTGTCTAGGGAAGATGTTAATTACATTAATGCACATGCTACATCCGCGCCGGCCGGAGATCTCAAGGAATATAATGCTCTGATTCATTGTTTTGGCCAGAATCCTGAGGTAACAACAGTACATAGCATGCATCATCTGTTTTCGTAATTCCTGTATTTCCGTGTTCGATGAGATCTTTACGTTTTACAGTTGAGAGTGAACTCTACAAAGCCCATGATTGGTCACCTACTGGGAGCATGTGGTGCTGTAGAAGCTGTTGCAGCACTACAGGTAACTTACGTGATGTTTTCAACTTGGAAAAACTGTACAGTTTTTAGACCTTATATACGCAAGGACCAAGTACAATTCTTGTTTGTTTGGCTTGAAGTGTAGTTCTTGACATGTTATCTTCTTTTTGGGTAGACGATACGAACTGGGCGTGGTATGTTGTCTTCGACTCCCCTTGTCGCACTTTGACAAGTATATAATGTCCAATGAAAGTATATTTGGAATCCTCTAATGCGCCAATTTACTTCTACAGTAGGTGGGGAAGAAGAAAGTGAATGTTAAGTTGCGGATTAATGTATGGGTCATGATTTTGGTTATGTTTTGGAATTGTACCAAATAACTTTTTTTGGCGGGGTCAGAGAGGATCTATATATATATATATATATCGTTTCCTTTTTTTTTTTTGGTCACATATAGAGAAATATAAGACAATTTTATTGTTACAAAAAAATAGCGGGTATTACATAGGGGCACGAAAGTATTGTTGCTAAAATTTGGGTTGTAATGGTTTAGAGAAAATTGTAATAATAGTTTTTCAATGTTAACCTAATTAGAGTATGGATTTCTCAACTAAAAATCCATAATCATTGATTCCTTAACTCATAAAAAAGTGCAACTATGGTCTTTTTCGTTAACTCTGTCAGAATTCTGTCAAAATAAGTGATGTTGGAAGGACCATTGCTACAATTTGATTAAAGTTGAAGAACTTCAATTTGGTTAAAGTTAAAGGACCATTTGAGGGATCATTGCTGCAATTTTTATCATTTGGTTTTCCATATTTGTCCTTTAGTTGAATTTTACATGCGTGACATGTGACTTATTTTGATATAAGTTCTAACAGAGTTAACAAAAAAAGTGGAGCCAAAAATATCCCAAAAATTAGGAGGGTGTAGTCAAATTAAGATTTTAAGGGATTTTAAAAGTGATAGATTTGATAGGATTTAAGAGGATTAGAAACTTCTACAAAATTTATATGGATTTTTAAAGAATTTGAATGGATTGTGGTGGAAAAAGTTGAAATCCTACGGGGTGAGGTTGGATTTTTTTAGTCTTGGTTATATATACTTTTGGTTCTCAAATTCCACAAAATCCACAACTTATAGAAATCTTTCAAAATTTTAATTTTTTTAATACACTTAGATTTGTTTGGATTTTAAAATCTTTTAATTGACTACACTTAGATTTTAAAGGATTCTAAATTTCTTTAATTGACTCACCTAGATTTGAATGGATTCTAAAATCCTTTAAAATCTTTTAATTGATTACACTAGAATTTTAAAAATGTTTTAAAATCTTCTCAAATCCAAGTTTAACTACATCCTCCTTATCTAAGACACGTGAACTTTCTTCTCAAAAGATAAAAATACCCTCATTAAATGGTTTGAGCAAAAACCATTTTTTTCCTGCAACCTGAAGCTGTTGTTGTTGGGCTGCGCCCAGCCTCCCCCAGACGCTGGGTTACATGGACAGCACCCCGATTTTTCTAGGCTGCTCCAACCTCGACGCAAGCCAATTTTCGGCTTGTTTTTTCTTCAAAGTGTACCCAACTATGTTAGGATGCCAACGGCTAAATTGGTTCTATTGACACACCCCAACTCCAGTGTACACCAAAATAGGCGTGATGACTAGATCTGGCATTTTCAATCCGATCCGACTTGATCTTTTAAAGTTAGTATTCGGATGAGTGATAAACGGATCAGGTAATTAACAGGTTAACCCGTTAATCACCTATTACATAACGGGTCATTTTAGATGAACCCGCAAAATCCGTTAACACTTGTTATTGAGAATTTTTGTGTAATTTCAATAGTCCTACTAGAAAACCCTCAGCTGAAATCCCACTGCAGTGATTGATGAACGTGTGAGATGCGCAGGTGCAGAAGAATAACAATACACCCTCAGTTCAAGGAATACTCGACTCGGATGCTCCTCCTCTCTTCTTCTTCCTGCTTTTTATCCTTTTTTTCTTCCATGCGCAACTTTGCCCTCGGCGAACCGTAGCTGGACTTCTTACTGTAAATATGGAGTTCTTGAAGGTTGAGGGAGACGAACAGTCGGCGAAGTCCAGAGTGCCAGTGAAGAACTGCAATGCTAGAGAGAGAGAGAGAGAGAGAGAGAGAGAGAGAGAGAGAGAGGGAGGGAGGAAGGGAGATGGAAGTAGTAACGGCTAATTCAGACGTGAGTGGTAGTGTTAATTAATTTCGGTTAACTTTTCCGTCGGCTTAGGCACACCTGAAGTGAGAACATAATAAAAGGAAATGTCAAAATGTCCAAATCAGCAATAACAGTAAAAAAAACAAAACAATTGCTGCAATGTTTTTCAAATAAAAAATCAAATTTGATGTAGCATGACATGACATGAAATAAGTTCTCTCTTGCTGTCAAATTTGACAGCAGCTATCAGATCTGCCTGCCTTCACTGAGTTACTGCTCTGCAACAAAGCCTTATACAGCCTGACATAGTTCGATTTTTCGATTACTTCCCACGAAGCATCGAGAATGTCACATACTGTGAGGTCCTCCCCATCCTGAAAAGTCACCAGCTCCTCCTCTGCCTCCACAGCTTCCTCTTGCTTCTACTCTGTTTTTTTCCACATCTTTTTGCTCACTTTTTGCAGTTTGCTTGCAGTAAAAGTAGATGAAAAGCAGGAAAAACACCAAAGTTGTCGATGGAGTCAGTGCAACGATCAAAGTCAGCATTTGGGTTTTGTTCATTATGTAAAAAAATGCAATTTCTTCATGTGAAATATTGGAGGAAAACCCAATTGAGGGATCTGGCTTTGATGTGGGGAGTTGAGAAAGTGATGAACATATTGCAGGTGTGGATAGTTTTCATGGAGAAAGACTTAATGCAAGTAGGAGTAGGAGACAAGGAAATTAATAAAATAATAGTTTAATAAAAAAAAATAATGTGGTAAAAAAATATTTAATTTGACAAATCAAATGAAAAATAAAATTTTAAAAAATATCAAAATACCACATACATTGTCAAATTTAAATTTTATATTTAAAAATTGAGAAGATGCTCTAAAACGTTTGTTTCAGAATTTTTGAATTTCTGGCGCCTGTGGGTTGGCAGGCAGGGAGGACGGGGGTTGGGACCCACGCTCTGTTAAAGACACGTGTCCCCCTGCAGTAGTCACGTTCTGTGTTCTCCAACCGCAAACGGGACGTGGAGCTCGAATACACAGGCAGAGCTCCAATATTAGAAACCGGCCCGAACCTAACAACAAAGCCCAAATTAAAAATTGGCCCGCAAATAAAAAAGAGTTATAGTCTTTTTGTTGGGAAGTGCTTCTAAAATGTCTGCAAGTACTTTTAGTGAAAGTGTTTTTGGGTAGAAAAAGTACTTGAAGTGCATTTTGGTTAAAAACACCAGGAAGCATTTCAAGTGTTTTTCCATGATTCACTTGTATTTTTGTTAAGGATTTGTCTCGAAAACACTTTCTTCAAAAGTTTTTTTCAATTATTTTAAAAACACTTCCAAACACACCTCATTAAATGTGCTAACATGGGTTATGCCACTAGTTAGCTTTGTCCGGCCTCCGCACAACTAAACTTGAATTTAACTTCAACTCTATACAAATTAATGTAGTTCATCGCTGACTTTCCTGGCTTCTGCTCTTTAAATTAATGTGCATATAAGCATACATGTTTATCTCACTTTTTTTTCCCTTAACCTTGTGATGTTTGTTCGATCTGTTTTTCTTAACCTGATTATATCACAATTTTATGCACTATCGAATCTCCAGTATCGTTATTGTTTATGAGCTAAGGTAATCGAGTTGTTGAGTGGTGCAATCTACATGTAAATGACAATGAGTAAGTTGAAGGGCATTTTTAGTTAGTTCAGTGAGTGAGTTCACTTTAATAAATGAAATTAAAAAGTATATGATCAATAAACGGTATAGTTTTCTTCACTTATATGTAAAAGTTCTCAAATTTAACTTTTACAGATGACGAGTTCAATATTTAATTATAAATATGAACAACAAATTATGTAAAATAAAAGAAAAATGTAAGCACTTTTAAATTGGAAAGCGCCTTGAAGAATTACGGAGCGATAAAAATAAATAAATAAATAAATAAAGGCTTTACCAAATGCTTGACGTCACAAATGTCAAAGCAGATGGTAAACTTTATATCCAGGCGAACCAATGTGCAAGGAAAATTCAAAGGGTACAAACTCAAATTCCAATATCAAACGGTTTCTGAAATTAGTTCATATCATTAAGATGATTTATAAAATTAAAATCGATCAATATAGTATTTGAAAATGTGTCTTAAATTAATGTGGTTCTTTCATTATAATTTTGTCAAAATTTTATTATATGCTGATGTGATACATAAATGAGTTCTGCAAGTCTAATTAAATTAAAAATAAATTAGGAATTGGTTTACTACAAATTAATAGAACCATTTCTGTCAACCAAAAAGAGGTGAAAATGCTATTTAGTCTTCTATCACAACAAAAAAGATAAAAACAGTAACGTAATTTTACAAAACAAAATTTTGCAGTTTTTGGTTTGGGGGTGTGAAAATACCTTTCTGGCGTCTACGTGATAAAAAAGAAAGCAACAAAGGCATGCGTACTAAATGGTTAAAGCAATACCAAAAGAATTCCAAAGGCTATGTAAAAGGTCCTGGTATGAACTATGACTTATATTCTTGATGTATTCGAAGATGAAAGTACAAACACCTCTTTGTGTAAAGAGGTAGACACTAGAGAGAACAATGTTTGTGGTGTGTAGCATCCATATGAGAGAGGAAGAACATAAGTCTCCTCCCTTATGGTGTGACAAAGGGTTTAACACCAAAAAATCAAAATAAATAAGTTCGAATTTTATTGGAGTCAACCTCTGAGTAGAAATAAAAAGGGAGTCTCAAGCCAACAAGACTCCCTATTTTGCGAGGGTTGGAGAAGGAATGTCTATCATACGTAGTCTTACTTTTGCTTTGCAAATATGCTGTTTTCATTACAAGAACTTGTAACCCGTTGGTTATAATGGAGCAACATTTCCACTGCGTTCAGGTTCGCCCTCAAATAAAAAAGGAAGTACAAAAGATAAAAAAAAAAAAAAAAAGGGTGTGAAGAAAACCACTTAACAATCTAACTTGCTTTTGTTGCAGTATTCAAGTAACTTTTCCATGTGCAAGATTGGTTTGACATACGAACATAGTAGCATCACGTTGCATTGCATCGTGCTAGTGACATGAGGTTAAAAAGGAGCGAATCAGTAAAGAAAGATAAATTATTGTTGATGAAATTAAGTTGCTATGAAAGTTACTCTCACATTAAAAGGTGGTATATATGAAAATGCTTTGTATAAATCACTTTTGAGAAGAAGTTGTCACGATGATTATTCTCTTTTAGCTTGATTGCATTCACATTTGAAGGTAGTAGGTAGGAAACTGTTTTGCAGATAGAAAGAAAAGCGAGGGCTGATATAACAAGAGAGAGTCCATTGTCCCTACTACACTACATATACCAAGAAATGTCCTGGAAGTTGTTCTTTTGATTTTTGGTCATGACTTAGTTGACTGCGAACCTTTGTTTACGTAAAGTTAGGTTTCATCTAGGTATTTAGATGATTACCGTTTCATCAATCCAATAGATATATAGACATTTTATCCTCCCTCATTTTCTAAGATGAAAAGACAGTGAATAAAAATTCATATGTTAAGTTCTAAATGGTTTACTGATGTTAAAAGTGAATTTCAAATCGGGTAAAAAAGTAACCTTATATATGCTTATAAGTAATTAAGCTACTTTTTATTTTATTAATTGTTTTTATAATGGAATCTTACGTAACGGACAACCAAATTTGGTATTGAATTTATTCTTTACAGATTCAAACTTAAGATCTCTCATTTATGAATGAAAAGAAATATCACCCTATTATACCGTTAAAATTTCATGATTGTCCCGGTTTCTAGTTCCTTGGCTTCCATCCACAAACAAAGCCTTTATATGGGATAGGGTTCTTCTAAGTCATGAGTTACCAAATTGAAAGTCTGTGTTCACCCAAAAAAAAGAAAAAGAAAAAAAGAAACTCTGTACTCTTTTTCTCCAAATTGAAAGTCTGGATTGTTTTTCCTCCAACTTAAGTCATATTGTGGAACTTATACCTGCATGGTTTTAAGTTTGACTTTTATAAAAAGTAATGTTACGAAAATTAAATTTATAGATTAAATTTTGTAAATTAAATAATATGAAAATTGATAATTGAATTATTACTTAAATGTTAATAAACGTGCTCATTTTTTATTAGTGACACATCATTTAATTTTTAATTTTAATTTATAAATTTAGTCTCCATACCATTACTTTTTTAAAAATGACAAGTTTCATACTAAAAGAGAAAATTTTTGCCGGATTCTTTTTGTGAAGATCTCAGAGATCCTTCAATCACATTCGTCCATCGTGCGATCACTTTTTGTTAAGTACAGCTTATATTTAATTTTAAATAAAAAATTTACAATAATTTATAATCACACGATATACAATAAACGAATATAATTTAAGAGTTACTGAATCCTCACAAAGAGTACGTGACGATGATGTCTCTTCTATACTGGTCTATTATTATCGTGGCCCACTCCTGCAAGTGGAGAGCCATGCGTTGAAGCACAAACACGGAAACTGACGGGCACGATCCCATTTCTGCAGGAGGTGACCCACCCACGTGGGCTGTACGTCCACTTGCTGGCTTGAATATTGAGCCCAATGGCTCTTTTTACTAATCCAACGGCAGACATTCACCACAATTAAGTGATGTAGATGGTGAAATGAAGACTAATTAATTCCTTTCGGGGGTCAACTATTTGGTGAAATGAGGACTAATTAATTCTTTTTGGTATAATTGAAGCAAATCATTCTTTGTCAACCTAGATTGGATGTTGCATATCAACATACTAACAAATCTAGCACACTTAGATTGGATGTGTTTCATATATATTTCGTGTGTTTCATGTTTTATACATTTTTTTTATGTGTTTCATGTTCTTTTATGATGTTTCATTGTTTTTGTTAGGTCGATTTATAATATAAATATATTGTTGTATAAAAATAAAAATCCGAATATGTACATTTGATGATATACCAGTGGTTAATTTGATTTCCTGAGATCTGTGAATATATCTGGCATGCAGAAAAGTAATGGGTCCAGTAACATAAAAAACAAACTGTTTGCCGATATGAAGCTGCAAAGAAAGAGAGAGGAAGTTCCGTGAACTTTAATCCTTCTACTTTATCACATTCATATTGAAAGGTATAGGTAGGAAGCCGTTTCGTTGGTAGTGAGAAAAGCTTGAGGACTGATACACCATTCCAGTATTCCAATTCTTTGAGAGGCTCTTTTCTTTTGTTTATGGTCTGGCTTTAATTATCCTATGGCCAATCAACTTGTCCCTTCTTCTTCCTTCACCACTACTCCTTCATGGACATACGATGTCTTTTTGAGTTTCAGAGGTGAGGATACACGCTACAATTTTACAGATCATCTATACCAAGCCTTGGTCCGTCACGGAATCCACACCTTCATTGATCATAGTGAACTTCCAATAGGAGAAGAAATAGCACCAACTCTTCTCGAAGCAATTGAAAACTCGAGAATTTCTGTCATCATATTCTCTGAAAACTATGCTTCTTCAAGATGGTGCTTGGACGAGCTCGTACATATTCTTGAATGTAGAAAGTCAAGGGGACAGATGACAAGGGCAATCTTCTACAAGGTGGATCCATCGGATGTCCGACACCAAAGAAATAGTTATGGTGCTGCGTTTGCTGACCATAGCCGCAAATATGAGAATAACCTGGAGAAGGTGCAAAGATGGAGGACAACTCTTACAGAAGCAGCAGATCTGAAGGGAGCTACTCTCAACAATGGAGAGTACGTATATTTCTGACCCTTATGCTACTGTATATGGGGTTTTAGTTGCTTCGCTAGCTCTATATATACTTCAGAATTCACTTGATTACGATATAAGGATTTAGTTTGGTCGAAATTTGATAAAAATTCTTAAAGAAACCAAACCATAATCAACAATTTGGTTAGGTTGGTTTGAGCAGTTTAGGCCTAAATCTTATATTTTTTTTCTTTTGCAATTTTGTTACTTTGTTAGCACTTAGCGTAGTAGCCCAACAACAACGAACAATTCCAAAATCTGCCACATATTAATCATTTTTTAGTACAACGAACCATGCATCTTAAAATTCATCATGTCGTCAAACTTTAATATAACTCTACGATATCAATAACTTTATATTCAACATCCTTATCTAGTTATTCGCCAATAAGAGTACTAAATGGGTAAAATAAAATTAATATAAGAACAAATATGTGAGTAGTCGGTTTGATTTGGTTTAAAACGGTTTACAAAAACTTAAAATTGTAACCGCAATCAATTCATTACTAGGAGTGAATTTTTTTACCGTATTAACATACTAACCAAATTACTAGCTGTACCACATCGATTTTGTGCCAATTTTGGTACCAATTAGTAATGGTACGGTAATTGTACCACACCAACATAATTGGTACGATATTGGTATTTAAAATCAATACCACCAATGTACCGTACCATACCAATATAATTATTATATATACTTATATTTATATATAATTAATTAAATATAAAACTATATAATTTACATATATAAAACTAAAAGAAATTGTCAATTAAATATGGAAATGCTTCTACATCCCAAAGTTGAAGAAATTGATCGTGGAATAAATTTCTAAAATATAGATACACTTTTCCATTTTCATTTTGTTTGTAAATTTAACTTCTGTTTGGTTTGCTATTTTTTATTTTGCTTTTGCAATTTTCGTTTAGTTTGTACTTTAACTTTCATTTGATTTATTTTGTAACTTCTATTTGGTTTTTAACTTTAATTTGTATATTAAATCTTGATGCATGGCTTGACTTACTACATATATTTGAAATGTGAGTGATGGATCTTGTTTATAGGTAACAAGTATATTAGATTACCTCAATGATTAAAAAAGGCGTTAAGTAACAACTCATTATGTGTATATTTTATCATCTATGTGTGCGTGTGTGTGTGTGTAAAGGGAGATGGCAAAGATGGTGAAACTTTTATAATACCCAAATCACCCTTCTCTCAATAAGATTTCAAAAATTAAAAAAAAATTCACAAAAAAATTCACATAGTAGGACTATAGGTAGTTTTGTTCATCTATTCTATACCATTAAGAGAACCCTCCTTGTCAACTTTTTTTCCCCTTTTTTTCTATTTTACCCTAATTTTTGATACACTATTTAATAAGGAGGACAAAACAGTAATTATGTAATATTAGAAAAAAATATGCACTCATTAAGAGAAATTATTCACACACACAAAGTGTGTGCTCGCTGCTAGTACTAATTAATAAAACACTCATTGTCAACCAAATTTTTATGAAATTACCAGTTTAACCCTCTAACTAAAATAGAACATAAATAAGAAATATGGAGCAGAAATGTAATTTCACACAACCAAATTTTTATTTTATTTTTCCAAAATCTCACCTACATGTAATCCTAACATATTTCTAATTAAAAAAAAAATCCCACTCTCACATTCTCTATCACTCTCTTCCTCTCTCATTCTATTTCAAAAACAAAAATAAAAAAAAATTCACACACACATTGTGCGTGCCCTAGTTGTTTTTAAAATAACACATATTATTTGTTCTAAAAAATATATTATAATAAAAAATAATAATATTTAAAATTAAAAAAATGATAAAATAAATAAAATTAAAAAAAGAGCCAATTACTAGCGTTTAGCAAGATGCTAGTGATTGATAATACATTTTGAGGTACAACATAGGAATAAAAATAAAAATACAAATCAGTTTTCGGCCAAGAAAGTCTATCAATGAATTGGACCATAAAAAAACTGGGGTTAAACTTAATGAAATAGGCCACGAAATTGGTTGTGCCATTGTCGTACCATGCCAACTAAATTAAATATGTCATTATTTTTTTCTCTGGTAGGTATGAAACTACATTTATTAACGGCATCGTTAAGGAGATTTCAACCCAAGTATTAAATCGCACATATTTGCATGTGGCTAAATACCCAGTTGGAATAGAGTCTTGTGTAGAAAAGGTGGAAGAGCTTTTAGGTGTCGGTGAAAATGATCGTCGTGTGGTTGGGATTTGGGGGACATCTGGAATAGGCAAGACAACAATTGCTAAAGCTGTTCATAATGCAATTGCTCATAAGTTTCAAGGTAGTTGTTTTCTGGCAGATGTTAGGGAAAGATCGACATCTCGTGAAGGCATAATCGAACTACAAAAGAGACTTCTATCTAAAATTCTATGTGGTACAGAGTTCCAAATTGACAGTTATCATGAAGGAATCAGTCTTATTAAGAATCGGTTGAGTCAAAAGAAGATTCTCTTAATTCTTGATGATGTGGATCATTTGAAGCAGTTAGACAACTTGGTTCAAGAGATCAGTTGGTTCGGTGAGGGTAGCAGAGTGATCATAACCACAAAAGATAGAGGATTGTTGGACTCTTATAGAGTCAAGTTGGTATATGAGGTCCAAACGTTAGAAGAAGGCAAAGCTCTTGAGCTTTTACTTTTGAATGCCTTTGGAAGTAATGAACCTCCGAAGGATTATTTGAGACTCGCACGACGTGCAATAGCCTATGCTCAAGGCCTTCCGTTGGCTCTTAATATTATAGGTTCTCATCTGTGTGATAAACGTATAAATCGTTGGCAAGCTATATTGGATGGCTACAATTCTTACGATGGAGAACCTTATACAGATATTCAAGAAATACTTCGAAAAACTTATGATGCCTGGGATTATGGGCTGCAACAAGTTTTCCTAGACATTGCATGTTTCTTTAAGGGTGGAGATAAAGAAGAAGTGTTACAAATATTAAGAAGTTCAAAGCTCGGAGCACGTCAAGATTGTATTGAAGTGCTCGTTGAGAAAGCCATAATAACTATTGAAGATAATTGGATTTTGATGCATGACTTACTAGAAAAAATGGGTAAGCATATAGTTTGGCAAGAATCGCCCTACGAACCAGGTGAGCGGAGCAGGTTGTGGTTTCATAAGGATGTGTACGATGTTCTAACTGAAAACAAGGTAAGTAGAATATAGGTTCATACATTTGACTGGCATGATCTAGAAAAAAAAAACAAAAATTTTAAAACAGAGATTGTGTTTTGCTTGTTAATTAAACGACATGGTTTGTTAACAATATTTCATTATTTTTTTCCATCTTAGGGAACAGAGAAAATTAGAAGTATTGTGGTGGAGCTACCCAAATCAGATGTGATACCCTTGAATCCAGAAAGCTTCTTGAGGATGGGAAATCTTGAAATTTTGATAAACCGTAATGCACACTTTTCTGGATGCGTTAATTATTTGCCCAACAGTTTGAGGTGGTTTGACCTGGGTGGACGATCCATTATTAATATTAAGCATACGGTTGTGCTCAATTTGCAGTCCAATTTTCATCCAAGATATCTCGTTAAGTTTGATATGTCATACAGTGACATAAGACAATTGAAGGGATTTAAGGTACATACTTTAAATGATTTTAAATCATTATTATTTAAACATATATTTTATTTCCCCAAAAAAAACTCAAGTGTTTTATTATATTCTTTTTAAAGCATGTGAACTTTTGTTTTGTTTTTGTTTTTGGTTTTATAGATTTTGGAAAAGCTTACATGGATGAATTTAAGTGGTTGCGAATTCTTGGAAAAAATCCCCGACTTCTCTGGAAGCCCAAACTTAAAGCACTTGAATCTAAGTGGATGTAAAAATTTGGTTGAGGTTGATGATTTTGTTGGATTCCTTGACAAACTTGTTATATTGGATCTTAGTCGGTGCTCTAAACTTACGAGGTTTGCAACAAGACTTGAATTGAGATCCCTTGAAGAGCTTAATCTTTGTGGGTGCACAAGGCTGGAGAGATTTCCAGAAATAGAGAAGGACAAGATGAAATCTCTGACGCGTTTGGAGATAGGAAAAAGTGGCATAAGAGAATTGCCTTCATCAATTGCGTATCTTACTGGGCTCACAGAGTTGGTTGCAAATGGTTGTGAGTTGCAAAATGTCCCCGACTTATCCAGAAGCCCAAACATAAGGGTGTTGGATCTAAGTGACTGCACAAGTTTGGTCGAGGTTCATGATTCAGTTGGATTCCTTGGTAAACTTGAATTTTTGCATCTTAATGGGTGCTCTAAGCTTACGAGGTTTGCAACAAGACTTGGATTGAGATCCCTTATAGGTCTCTATCTCAAAGGTTGCACAAGGCTGGAGACATTTCCAGAAATAGAGAAGGACAAGATGAATTCTCTGACGCGTTTGGAGATAGGAAAAAGTGGCATAAGAGAATTGCCTTCATCAATTGCATATCTTACTGGGCTTACGGACTTGGTTGCAAATGGTTGTGAGTTGCAAAATGTCCCCGACTTATCCGGAAGCCCAAACATAATGGTGTTGGATCTAAGAGACTGCACAAGTTTGGTCGAGGTTCATGATTCAGTTGGATTCCTTGATAAACTTGAATTTTTGCATCTTAATGGGTGCTCTAAGCTTACGAGGTTTGTAACAAGACTTGGATTGAGATCCCTTATAGGTCTCTATCTCAAAGGTTGCACAAGGCTGGAGACATTTCCAGAAATAGAGAAGGACAAGATGAAATCTCTGACGCGTTTAGAGATAGGAAAAAGTGGCATAAGAGAATTGCCTTCATCAATTGCGTATCTTACTGGGCTTACGCACTTGTCTGCAAATGGTTGTGAGTTGCAAAATGTCCCTGACTTATCCGGAAACCCAAACATAAGTTACATGGATCTAAGTGACTGCACAAGTTTGGTTGAGGTTCATGATTCAGTTGGATTCCTTGATAAACTTGAATTTTTGCATCTTGATGGGTGCTCTAAGCTTACGAGGTTTGCAACAAGACTTGAATCAAGGTCCCTATATTATCTTTCTCTTGAAGGTTGCAGAAGGCTCGAGAGTTTCCCAGAAATAGAGGGCAAGATGGAATCCCTAAGCCATTTGAATATACAAAATAGTGGCATAAGAGAATTGCCTTCATCAATTGCGTATCTTACTGGGCTTACGCACGTGACTGCATCTGGTTGTGAGTTGCAAAATATCCAACTCCTCCCTTTTGGAAAGAAGGTGAAGTTTGATGAAGTTTCATCCTGCGGTACCAATTTACAATTGTCTCTTGATCTAGAAGGATGCAATTTATCAGAAAGGGATTTCCTTGCGCCTCTTGATTGCTGGTCCGCATTAACATCACTTAATCTGTCGAGAAACAATTTTGTTAGCCTTCCGAATTGTATTAGCAAAGTTGTCAACTTGAAGACACTTTTCTTGAGGGATTGCAAGAGGCTTCGGGAAATTCCAGTCCTTCCACCAAAACTAGAAGAGTTATATCTGGATGATTGCACGTCACTGGAGAAAATTCCAAAACTGCCGCTGAGGCTTAAGCGTCTTAACTTGTGTAACTGCTCTGGACTAAGTGGCGATGAGCTAGCAAAGTTGGAAAACAACTTGTTGAATGAGGTTGGTCTCTCTTCTTCTTAATTTATGTTCAAATGAAAATTAATTTTGTTGATACTTGAAAGAGAGATCAGATCACAAATGTTTGTAATTTGTTAACTATATATATATATATATATCTACTATTGCAGGAAATTGATCCGCGCTCTAAATTGGACATTATTTACCCAGGCAATGAAGTTCCAAAGTGGTTCAGCTATACCTCTAACCATCCCATAACCATTCAACCTCTACCAGAATATGAATCGAATGAATATGACAGGAAAGAAACATATGTTGGAGGACGTGAATTTCGTTTTGAAATTCCTCTAAAATTACAAGTGGGGGAGACGTTATTAGGATTGGCTCTATCTTTTGTTGTTGAACCATCGACTCATCATGATTATCCTATTGACCCGTGTATTATCATCAACGGAGAAGAATTACTTGAACATAATTTATGGTATGGTGAGGACACAAAGGCAACTCATGTGAGGCTTGCATTAGTGGGTTTATGGGAACAGGAGCCGGGGGTACATATTTGTCAAGTTGTATTTCGATTCCAGAAAGGGTGTCCCATTAAAAGCTGCGGCGTGCACTGCCTATTGAGACCAACGAGCAGTCTTGGGATGAGGCCTCATCCACGTTGATCCTCAGATATTGTCGATGATGAATATGATCAGGAACAGCAATGGCTTTCCTCATCTTCGGAGGATAAGGAGCAAGAGTAAGAGCAACCGTCCGACTTAGATAATCATCCAAAACGCAGGCAGATTGATCTCAATGTTCCAATTGATATTGAGGAGGATGAGGAGCATCTTCACTTGTCTCTGAGACCAACGAGCAGTCAATATGATCAGCAACAATAATGGCTTTCCTCATCTTCGAAGCCAGCAGATGATCGTCCAAAACGCTGGCAGATTGATCCCAATGTTCCTTTTGATACTGAGGAGGATGAGGAGCAAGAGCAACCGTCCGATTCAGATGATTTGCATTTCTGATTTATTAGGAGTTTGGGTACGTACATTTTTGTTTGCACTTTACTAGTATCTAAAACTAAGAGGCTGTTTGAGAACCATTTCAGTTTGCAAACCGAAAACTTGTTTGATCTATTATCTTGCATTTGCCTTTCTGGCTTTTTTATTTTATATATATATATATATATATATACATATATCTAAACTACATATTACTAGAACACTTGTGTCAACCAAACTCTTATAAAATTCACAGCTTAACCCTCTACTTAAAACTAAACATGAATAAGAAATATGGACAGAATTGTAACTTTAAACAATCAAAATTTTGTTTTTTTTGTTTTTATTTCAAAACCTTACCCAAATCTCTAATTAAAAAAATAAAAATTAAGTCTCTTTCCCCACTCCCACATTCTCTCTCTTCCTCTCTCCTTCTACTTAAAAAAACAAAAATAAAAAGTTTTCATGCACACTTAATGCGTGGCCATATGCTAGTATATGATAAATAAAAAAAAATTAGTAACTACTAAAACTCGATTGGTAACAACTAGCGGCTGTAACAAAAATCTACTAATCACAACTTCAAATCAAAGACTAATATCTTCCATTCTATCACTTACACTTGCTTTTCTCTTACCTAAAGTCTAAAAATATCATCAATAAAAAATGGAAATATCATAAGGCTAATGAAATCAATGGAAAGTCGTGTCTACAAGATAAAGTCAAATGCCAGAAATGGAGAAAAGCTTCTCCAACATATGCTCTTCTCAGTAATACAACATTAGTTTTCAATCTGCAGAAACAAAGAATTCATCTGTAGGTGGCTAGTTATTACAAAAACAGAAACCACTTTTGTATCCTAAAGATATCTGTGACTGTGAGTGAGTAAGCCACAGCCCTCGACTAACAAAACCAAAGTCTAATTAATTCAAACAAACAACGATGGAAGGAAAACATACTTCATATTCGTTTCACCACAGAAGTAGACAGGGTAGATAAAACCTATAAAGAACTATTCGTTTTCAGTTAAATCCAGGCCTTTTTCAGATACGTGAATGAAAGAAGTATTATGAATTCAACATTAATTACCTAAAAACTTGGTTTTATCCGGATATATAAACCTACAAGGAGAAATGAGATTATAAGTACAAAATTTCTACAAGGTGATCAAAGAACTACATCATTTGGATGAACACGTAAAGCAACTACTCCTCTGTTCCTGGATTTATTAATCAAGTATCCACGCAGAGACGGTAGACTTGTTGGACTACTGTTTAATCACGAGTCGGGGTTCACATTAATCTAAAGTGAGGAAACTCCTTCACATATACATTTAAATACAATAACTGAATAGCCATGGCATTAAAATCAATCGTTCACTTTCTAATTTATAAGTAACAACAAGAGCATCCCTCCACCAGTTGTTGATTTTGTGAACAATAAAGGACCCATAAAAGGCAAAAGGCAAGAGACAGAATTTTGTCCAAAACCAAAAATGCTTCAAGACGCCTTAGGCTGCAACTTTGACCCAAACTCCATCGCAGTAAATCTAACCAAATTAAATTCGTTAGGGCAACTGCAGAATGAGGTTTTCATCGGCCACGAGAAAAAATAAAAAAATAAAACGAACTGAAACGTGGCAATTTGTGAGTTTCTAGGGTTCTATATGATGCGAAACTTAAAACGAAACTTAGAGATAGAGAATTTAGATTTGTGACTTACGTATTAACAACCAGAAATCGCAGCCTCAAAATTATGAAATCGTAGCCTCCAATATTCAAAATCGCAGGTCTCAAACCTCTGAACTCGATGCTCCAATATTCGAAATCGCAGCCTCAAATATCTGAAATCATAGAAATACAAAGTATTCCTGAAATCAATCCAATCAGTTCTTCGAAAACGAAATAAATAAATAAATAATTCAGAAAAATGAAAAAATAATAATAATAAGAAGCGAATCGAAACAATTCAATCCAATCATAAGAAATGATTCAAAATTACCTCGGATCTCAACAGACCAAAACCCTAACAGAGTCCTCTGCAGATCGAATTTTAGCATTCTAAAAATCTCATTCTACATTCCTCACATGTGTAATTTTCTTTCTAATTATAAAAAATTTAAAATGCAAAATAAGATTTTTAGAATGCTAATAACAATTCCCTAAAAATTTAGAGATATGTTAGGTTAATGTGGGTGGGTGAAGGAAAAAAAGAAAACGTAAAAATTTCGTTTATTCAAAATTACATCATTGTCATGACTTTATTTTGTGATAAAAGATTACATTATATTTTTTGAGAGAGACTAAGTTTTATTATTTATTTGAGAGAGATTAAACTTATTCGCGTGACATGTGATATCAAGATTATTTTTTAATTGCTTTCCGATTCACAATTTTGCTGTAAAGTCTTTATATTCTTATGAACACTACTTGGCTGCCAAAAATTCAGCAGCCAAGTTCTTTCCTATTCTTATTTATAAATTTTAGTTTTATGTCCTTGTTTTTTCTTCTTGGTCCATTTCTGTCTCTCATCCTTCTGCTTTCTACCCATTTCTGTCTCTCTCTCTCTCATCCTTCTGCTTTCTACCCATCTCTCTCTCTCTCTCTCTCTCTCTCTCTCTCTCCACCTTCTTTTTTGTATTTTTCTTTCTCTTCTCTCTTCGTACTTCTCCCTATTCCTCCTCCTACATCATTATCTCTACTAGTATTGAAAATTTCGAAACTGATCTTTTCAAAGTGCTGGAATTTAAAATTGATCTTGTAGAAATTTTGAAACTGACCTTACAGAAGTGCAAAGAAAATTTGAAATTAATCTTGCAGAAGTGCATGAATTGTGAAAATAATCGTTCAAAAATGCAGAAATTAATTTATACGGATCTAAAATCAGTTTGAAGTTTTTATAGATAATGTCACTTTATAGTTTTCACCTGGTTAACTAGCAAGTCTATTGAGGCCATGGTTGGAATTTTAAATTTTGGTTTGCTTGTTTTTTGGGCTAGGTTTCTTGAGGTTTGAACTTTTGTCTCTCTTTGAAATGATTCAAAAATAGTGAAGTTCTATGAAATATATTTTGTGTTGTTTTGGTGTATAAAGATTTGGTGACCATTGTGTGATTGCAAATTTTAAAGTGTGGGGCTAATGCTGGAGCTCCATCATGTTTATATGTTTATGAACTTAGTAGGACTGTGAATTTGTTGTTTCTCTTTCTCCAGGGGTTAGAGAAGGCCTCATTTTGGTGATCAACGCGGGTTATCAAAATCTTATTCAGGAGAGCGATTCTCTCCAGATTGTCTTAGCTTTGTAGGACCAATCCCTCAACCTCTCGCCAGTTGGCCCTATTGTTATGGATGCAAGGGCATTGCTAGACCAGATCACTAGAGTTGTCATCGCCCGCTCGACACTTCTTTGTAATGGTTTTTGTTTTGGTCTGAAGAACCTCCTGATCTCTCTTTTGTGTATATTTCTTCGACCATTTGGTCTTTCAATGAAACACTGCTGATTTTCAGAACTGGACTTGTTTATGTTCTTTATCTATTAATTTAAGACAGTGTATCAGTATCTCTCTCCTGTAGTAAAACATCTTGTAAACACTGTTGATATTTACTCTTACACTTGCAGGGTTGGATGGTCCCAAACTATTCAACCTCTACTGCTTGCGCTACAAGCAGCTTCTGTACTTTGAATTCGGAAAATCATATCATTAAAGCCAATGCAGTAAGTATTCCTACAACGTGAAGTAATTTGTTGAAATCTTACGCAGGACCTTATGCTCTGTGGTGGTTCAGATTCAGGGATGATACCTCTTGGTTTTACTCAGAGTTTCACGTACAATAATCTTGTTCTTATGCAATTACTGGAGGATTGGGAGGCTTTGTGGCATGCAGAGCACTGTCACAAAGAAACAACCAAAGCATCACACCCTTGGGATAGTGTAATGCGACCAATAACTATGCTAGATTCATTTATTCTTTTATTTCCACTGTGATTGGTTATATGATGAAACTTCTGTAAATATTGTTAAGAACAAGAATTATTGAAAGGCATGTCATATATTGGTTGTCTCAATGTAAATTTGTGATAGAATATGGTCAGCTTTTTTGAAATGATATGTTCGTAATTTATATCTAAACCTAGTCATATCTATTGAGCTTGAGAGTTGAGTTTCTTAATTTTAGAAACGTTTAACAAGTGCAAAGTTATTGCATTGCGAATGAATAAGTTTGAAACGTTTAATAGGTGCTGTTTTTAACGAAATCATGTTTTTTTGTTATTGGACAGAATCATGATGGATTTGCTAGGGGAGAAGGAGATGGCGTTTTGCCTCTAGAAGAGTTAGAACATGGTAAGGTACTTTCTAAATGTATGACCTTGGCAATGGCATTTTGGTGTCTGGATATGCCTTCGCTCTTTCTGTGTAGGATCACATCGTCTGTAAGGTTGTAGGTCCAAAGTCTGTAGGGACATTCTGTATCCAGTGGTTCCCTCAAGCTAATCCACATCATGCTTTCTGTTGCGTTTCTTGAACTTGCTGCTACCCCTATAGTCTCACAAACATGTTTTCTAACCATTCATTTCTATCTTACTATGCAATATGGTGTTTTTTATTAATGTACTTGGAAACAGGGGCCGGGGTTATTCTCTGCATTGAAAAGGCTTTAGAACAGTCTGGGGTGTCTAGGGAAGATGCTAATTACATTAATGCACATGCTACCTCCACGCCGGCCGGAGATCTCAGGGAGTATAATGCTCTCATTCATTGTTTGGCCAGAATCCTGAGGTAACCACAATACATAACATGCATCATCTGTTTTCTTAGTTCCTATATTTCCATGTTCGATGAGATCTTCGACTTGGAAAAGCTGTACAACTTTTGGACGTTATACGTAAAGACCAAATACAGTACTTCTTTGTTTGGCTTGAAGTGTAGTTCTTGACATATTATCTTCTTTTTGGGTAGGCGATGCGAACTGGGTGGATACATCCAAATATCAATCTGGAAAACCCAGATGAGGGCGTGGTATGTTGTCTTCCATTCCCCTTGTCGCACTTTTACAAGTATATAATGTCCAATGAAAGTATATTTGGAATCCTCTAATTCTGTCAGCACATGAATGCAGGATACAAAACTACATCCAACAGTCTTGTTTGCTCCATACAAGTAGAAGCACAGATCTAGTGTGCTACTCCAACTTTTGCTGCAATCTTACTGAAGGTATGTTTGCATACTGCCACCTTTTTATTACAACTTAGAAGGAATGGTAATATGTAAACAAATCAAGCAAAGTGTCGGGATTTCTTATGAAAAATAGTAGTCGGAAACATAATTCTGCAGTATTGCGGCTATGAAATTGAAGTCAACATTCGTAGAACAGTAACAAGCACTGTCACATGTTTCTTGGACAATAAAATCAATGATCTTTCTTTCGTTTATTTTGCTTTCAAATTAAGCAGAACTAATTATTTGCGGATGGGACTGAATCCACATTGAAGTAAGAGCCCAAGAAGTCTCCTTTGTATTCGATCTTCTCTATGGTGGGATGGATTGCGGTTATGAAATCCGAATCGCTCGAGAAGAATGTTGAGGTGGCCCCTAAGTAGAAAATATTAAGGGCTCACCCAATGGTTAACAAGAAATCTATAACATTTGTTCCCTGGACCTGATAAAATATGGGGCACTGGTCCTTAAGTCTAACTCCGTTAATTTTTTTCGTCCTTTTTGCTATATGTGGCAAAGTAAGCAAAATACCATTGCATGTTATGTAAGCATAATAGATGGAAAATTACCGGAGTTAGACTTGAGGACAAATGTTTCACATTTTATCAAGTTCAAGGGTCATATGTAATGGATTTTAAATTCAAGGACCAAGTTACAATATATGGATCATTGCGCCAATTTACTTCTCCAGTAAGAGGTGGGGAATAAGAAAGTGAATGTTAAGTTGTGGATTAATGTATGGGTCATGATTTTGGTTATGTTTTGGAATTGGACCTAATAAACTTTTTTGGCGGGGTCAAAGAGGAAATGGTTCATATATATATATATATATATATATATGAACCATTTCCTCTTTTTTTTGTCACGTATAGAGAAATATAAGACAGACAATTTTATTGTTACTTGAGGAGAAAGATAAAAAAATAGCGGCCGTTACATAGGGGCATGAAAGTATTGTTGCTAAAATTTGGGTTGTAATGGTTTAGAGAAAATTGTAATAATAGTCTCTCAACTTTAATATAATTAGAGTAATGATTTCTCAACCAAAAATCCATAATTATTGGTTCCTTAACTCATAAAAAAGTGCAACCATGGTCATTTTTGTCAACTCTGTCAGAATTCCGTCAAAATGAGTCATGTTGGAAGGATCATTACTACAATTCGGTTAAAGTTGAAGAACCATTGCTTCAATTGGGTTAAAGTTGAAGGATCATTTCTCCAAATAGGTTAAAGTTGAGGGATCATCGTTGCAATTTTTCTCATTTGGTTTTTCATATTTGTCCTTTGGTTGAACTTCACATGTGTGACACATGACTCATTTTGATAGAAGTTAAAACGGAGTTGACGAAAAATGTGGCCATAATATCCCAAAAATTAGAGAAGACACGTGAACTTTTTCTCAAGAAAGATAAGAATACCCTCATTAAATGGTTAGAGCAAAAACCATTTTTTTCCTGCAACCTGAAGCTGTTTTTGTTGGGCTGTCTCACGTTGGGTTACATGGACAACACCCCGATTTCTCTAGGCTGCTCCAATCTCGAAGCAAGTCAATTTTCCCCTTGTTTTTTGTTCGAGCTGTACCCAACCATGTTGGGATGCCTACGGCTAAACTCAAATTTGGGTTCTATTGACACACCCCAACTCCAATGTTTAATGGGCATCAAAATCGAGGCGCGATGACCATCACTCAAATATGTGATGAAGCCATAATATGCATGAACTCATAACTAAAATTATTAAATTTTATAAACAACCGAAATTTCGGCAGAACTTCCCCTAATACATGGGTAAGACAAATCAAAACACCTACAAATACGTACATTTATTTCAACACTTTTGTGAAGGGCCACAAGTCAACCCTAAGTCAAGTGGTTTGCTCTAAAGTCAACCGCCCTAATTATTTTTATTCCGGCTCATGCCACAATTCAACCCTAACCCAAATTATATTCGATTTGGGTTGGATGCTTTAACTATGCTGTTTTAGATCAGGTATTTTGATTCCGAGTTGGATGCTCCAACTTTAACAAATGGTAACAAAGCAAACTACTCGTACATCAAATCTATAGTTACAACTACTCTGTGGCACCATATATAATTCAATTACGGCCCAAAATTCCTTATCCATTGGTTTAAAAAACAAAGCAGCAAATCGAATTCCAATTTCCTTGCAATCTTTGATGTGAATAATTACTTGATGAGTGAAAGAGAACAAAAATTGCAAATTAAAATTGACGTGAGCAGTAAGGAAACATATGATGCTATGGCCTATACAGGAGTGTATTTTTGCTCACCCTAAAACGGTGGTGATATTCACTACTCTATGAATTACTGTTAGATTATTGTAAGTTTCAATATTTATGTAGTAGATCAAACTCATTTAACAATAATGAATAGAATAATGAACATCACTATCACTTTAGAGTGATGATTAAAAATATTTCCGCCTATGTACGCACGTACACATGCAATACACTGTTTTGAGCTTGTTAGCCGTGCACGTCTTAATGGCAACTAGGATTTTGATAGAAATATATACTTTTAAATAGATAAAATTACATTTTGTCGCAGCCAAACTGATAAAGTTGACATCGAGTAGGAAAAAGTTCTTGATGACAATTCTGTAATAGCAACAAAAAAAAAAAAAAACAACAACAACAACTTGTTGCCAAAATTGGAATGGTTCCAAACAATATGGCAACGTATAGTCTCAAAATATGGAGAACTTCTTTTGTAGGGACTATCATATATTGGCAATACATAAGGGGTTGCATCAGATATATATAGGATATATGGTCTGACTGATGCATGGAGTTATATCCTTGTGTGTTTTATCGCCAAATATATCCGATAGTTCTTCAAAAAAAAAAAAAAAATCAAGATTATGAGAAACTAATCACGTCTAATCTTCATAACCATTGGTTTAAAACTTTCATGACCATTATGTGGATCTATATGTGAACAATATCGTGATATAATTTTTGTTTGAAACAAATTAGTATAGCGCGTGATGTAGTTTTAACAATTACTCAACAGTTGAAATTGAATCACTTCATGCTTTTGTGCAGATGCTTTTCAAGACGCTTTTCAATTTATTGGTCAAAGAGCAATTGAATAGGGTACACAAATTGTATCATCAAAAGTTCAAAAACCCTAAATAGTCAACTATAACATATGAAACACAAGTTTTACTAGAGAAATGCTAATGAGACTATCTTAAAAATGTGACTCTCTATAGACTTTATGTCATCTCATATATTTTTGCATAATATTATATAATATTAACATGAGAATTGACAATAAACTGTAAAGTGATAGAAAATTAATAAAGAGTCTTATACAAAAAAATCATCGTTAACCCACTAAAACGGCCGATGGGTTTTGAACTAACATGCTCTTCCACATGTTAGCTAGATTATCAGTTTCGATCCATCATAATTAATGCATGTATATGTTTACTGGCCGAATTAAACACCAAAAACCAACACAGATTTACGCTAAAAACCTACGACGTCGATGGTATTTGCCACATCAGACATCCAGAAATATTTTTCCTGGAAAAGTTATTGGCCAGTTTGGTGTGACACACTCACGGACCACATTATTTTCAAAATTCTGGCCGCCCTCATGCAGCAGATTCCAATTCCCTGCCTCGCTGACGCCCCATAATTCTGGTCTCTCGTCGTGGAGATCAGATTCTCTCTTAGCCTCTGCAGTCTGCAGATTCTGCGCTCGTTCTTTTATGCAATCAGAAATTGCCACGTCATACCAAGAAAGAAGATTTAGACATTTGTTTTCGTTTTCTGACACAGTGACGTGTCCCCGGCCCCGCAACTGGTGCACAGTTCATAAAATGTGCGGTGAAGATCGAATCTAAATAATTTAATGATGAACATTGTTTTCTAAAAATAAAATTATAGGTCAATACTCAATACCTGCTCCTTCGAGCGTCGAGTCAAAGAAAACAGGATCATAAAAAACCAGGCAGCTATGGGAGTATGCATGCGCATGTTAAATATTACAAAAAAAATAAGTTGAATCTGATTAATTAAAATTATAAGGTACAGGACAATAATATATGATAGTAAAAGGCCCCACAAACTATAAACTACAGAAACAATCAAATAATAAATCAGTAGAAAAAAGGAGTTTGAAGAAGAAAGCGAATAAGTTGCTAATATTGGTAAAACGCACCATGACGATTAAGAAGATATTGAAATATCTTTGAAAGTCTTTTCGACTCACAAAAAGGTAAATTTTCATAAACAAACCGCTAGTTAGTCATTTTCTTAATAATAAAAAAAAAGTGAATACGGAAAAGAGAAATGCACTCGAAACGAGCCACTAGTTAGTCATTTTCATAGTAAAGAAATTTTTCTTTGTGATCGGAACATATGTTTTAGACCACGTGTTTTTATATAAATTGTGAAAAATTTTATTTTTTAAGTTATCAAATTTTTAACACACATATCGCACTATTTGCATAGTGACAAGTGTATCATCCTGTATTCCGATCATACTGAAACATCTCTCCTTAAAGTGAGAATTTTTATAAACTTTCTAACACCTAACAGTTAACATCAATTCCTTTATCAATATTATAAACATTGTACCAAAAATGTGAAGAGACAGAACCTTCGTATAAAATCTTAAACATAACATTTTTCTAAGGAAAGCGAGTAAAAAATAAAAAGTTGGGAGTCATAGACACGTCAGACTCGTATACCAGACAAAAGTAAAGCGGTTTTGTATAAACGAGAACGAAACCACAGGAAATGAAAGCCGCAGTAACCAGTGGTTTTGCTTTGTAATTTAAAAAGATTAAATTAAACTAATAATAAAGTCAATTAGCAGCATTACCCAGCAGTGACCACCAAGGAAGGTGAAGTTTTAGAGGCAAAAGACATGTCAGCTTTCTCTTTCCTTTTCTCCATCCGCCATGTATAAAAGGCTATTCTAGCATTTCTTCTTCTCCATCCCATTCGTATTCATTCTCTCTTCATTTCTATCATTCTCCGCGTTCTGTATATTGAAGCTCTCCGTCCATTACTGCTTCGATTTATTCATCGATTTGTTACTTTATTGGTCAAGAACATTCGTCGGCGGTAATTCTTCGTTGGATTTTAAGGTAGTGATAGCTAGCTTTTACCATTAGAAAAAGTTTATGCACATTGTTTGATTGATCCTATATTTATCCAAGAGTTTGGAGTGCATGAGTAAATTGTTCTTAACCACGATGTTTGATCCCTATGTTTCAATTGAATGTTTGGTGTGTATATATACTTGTGGGTGTATATACACACTAACAACCCTAAAATATTTTCAATACCAAGGAGTGGGTGACACTAAACCCACAATTTGAGGGTTTATCACATCAAATTTTATAGGGATCACCTACAAAGTTCTACACGTATCCGAAAGCCCAACTTTTGAATCATCACCAAGCACCTTCACCAATCGCAAATTTCCCAAATTTTCTTGCCCTAAAAGATGATGAAAAAAATCTAATTAATCGGATTTCTTCTTGGAGAGCAAGGCCAATAGAAAAGGCAAATTTTGAAGAGCAAGTTTCTTTCCACATGCCTGCAACCGCAGTAAAAAATCATAACATGTCTGATTCGAATGCGCAAATTACTAAACTACCCCTGTTTTGTTTACTTTTTTTCAAGAAATTAACAAGGGTCAAAAGTGAAATGGAATTTTGTCCAAGGCTTTCTTTCACCATTTTTTTACCTAGGTAGTAGTAGGGGTGGTTCGGTAT